TCCTGTAAATTGTGAATCACATTTCAGAAGAGAAACATCTGATAACAGCATAGCACTAGGACCGAAACCGAAGCAAAATAAAAGCGTTTCTTTTTCTCAAAGGCTGAGGGCGGGGGTGGGGGTAGAGGGGGTTATCTCTAGTCTGCTTCAAAATGTACCTGTATCTTTCTGTGTATAAGAGAGGTTTGTTTAAGACATTTCTCCAAACTACCGTGTTCTAATTAGAGCAAACTTTGACTGTCTTTTCCTTAAAACACTTTAATGAAATTCTCTAAAGACTGCAGACTAGTGTCCATTAAGTCTACTCAATGTGCATAAACTGTTTTGTGAGTTGCTATTTAAAAAGGGAACTCCCCCCACCTTTCAGTTCTGTTAATCCTATATCTATGTTAGTTACTTTTTAAATTATCTGCATTTGGCCCCTTATTTACATCAGCCCGATGCACACATGAACAACCAACCATATGGCTAGAAATAATTTAAGATCAGGCTGAAGCACATGTGAAACAACATACTTGTCTTTTCTTTCTAAGCCTGGGATCTTTCTCCGGGGATCCTGGTTCCTCTGAGTTCATTAAGACACAGAAAGCCCTGGCCTGTGACTTATCCAGCCCGAGGTTAGCTTTCCTTCCAATGTGCCCAACCTTACCCAGGGCCTGGTACACATGACACTTGCCATCTTGTCTGCTGGAAACTCAGTCCTGGAACAATTTTTCACCTGCTTAGATGCGTACATGTGTCTGAACTAAACTAAGGGGAATGAAAGACACACTTGACAGGGAGCCGAAGTCACTGAGTGGTCTCTATACGCAGCCAGGGGCCAGGATGACCAGATTGAAAGGTCACTGCCACACCTGGAAGAGGTAATATCGGATTACCTTAAAAAGGTTTAACAGAACCGTTGACTCACAAACCTCTGGGGGGGGGGGAATACCTTCGAACTTGTACACAACAAAGGCAGTGTTGTTTGCTTATACAAACACACTGCTTTGCTAACCTGCTATGAAGACACAGTCAGAGTCCTTAAAGCAACTGAGGTAAAGTGCCGTGTGGGAGGCACCCCTACTGTAATACACTCAAAGACCCCCCCCAAGCTGTTTTCTTATGTGGATGTATCATCCCTCCAAGACACAAAACAGAACAAGGAGAAGAAGGAGAGGTAAAGAAAAAAAAAAAAAAAAAAAAAAAAAAAAAAAAAGGATGGCAAGAATTTGGCTTGCCTTATTCCTCTTTGTGGATTTCTGTTATGTAGTAGGTTTTGTGTGGTTATGGGGTTGAAGCAATATGACATGTACCATTTCAATCATGGGTTGTTAAAATGCACAATCTGCTCTTTTTTTGAAGGCCCAACTGAAAGAACAGGACACACAGAAGAAATGTTTTCAGTGGACGCTAAAGAGCAACCAAAACTCCAACACAGAAAGGAGAATCGAGTGAACTAAAAACTTGTATGAAGTTCCAGAAACATAATCACTCAGCAACAGCACGTGACCAAAAACTCCAAGACCAATAACATGGTTTTTTGTTTTTTTTTTCTTCTTCTTCTTCTTCTACAAAATAAATTATTGAAAGTGGTCACGGGATTTCAAGCAGACAGAGATACACAGTTTCCCAAGGACAGTTCATCAGGGAATGTATTATTTAAGACTGGATCATCATAATGCTATTTTTAATGCTATCATTTTGCTGCCAAAACTGGCCGTGGCAGCTGACACGGGCCACTAGAAAAATGATGCGCTTTCATGTAGCCATCCACTGTCATGAGAATGGTAACGCTTTCCAGTTAGTCAAATGTTTTGGTGGGTGTGAACTGTATTCAGAAAGGGGGAACTACTTGCTAACTACCTCACAAAAAGGAAGCTGGCCTCTACTGGGTACATAGAAATGAGTTTCCCTTTAGTTGAAGAAGAAACACTATCTCACTTGAACAATGGCAAAATTGCCAATGCAAGCTCATAACCAGCAAGAGAAGCATTCTCTCGAGGAGTAGAACTGTGGCTATTTAATGTTTCTCGCCTTCATTCTCTGCTCCTTCTGGGGGTCAGATTGCTGTAGTGCACATCTGGGAATCATGATTCCAGGCAACATTCTGGACCTGGAGGCCCCTGGAAAGAGGTCTATAGGATGAGCCTTCAAAATACAAAACAACATACAAAAAATAAAGAAACACAACACCCACCCACATCCAGAAACAAACAAGCATGGCAGCCAGCAGCTCTGACTTTAATGCACAGAGAAACTACAGATTCTGCCTCCGTGGCACTAGAGTGAAGCCCAAGAAGGTACCAGGCGACACCGTACTGCTGATATGTGGGGTCTCAGACATTTTCTAGAACTGCCATTGTCTCCCTGTTCTAGCTTTCTTGCCTTTCTCTGGGCAGCACACCAGCCCTTATGCAGGCCTAGAGGTAAGCCATGCTCTGCCGTACCTAATTATTTCTTCATTATTTGTTTAATTTGCAGGTTCTGGGACCCTCTGTTAGGAGCTGGCCATTCCAAGGACTGTTTCCTCTATAATAAAACATGGAACACAGTCTTCCCCAGCCTTGGAGCACTCTGCCTTTGAAGCAGAAGACTAAAGTGATTTCAAGCTTAAAGCTTCAAGTGTCCTATATAGATAGTTCTGGAGATGAGCTGCTCCAGCGACCATGGGAAACTATTCCCATCATTCAAGTCATTGTCTCATATCAAGAAAAGAAGATCTCTGCTGAAACTCAGCTCTGTTATTAAAAGTCAGTGTAAGGTCAACATACTAGGGATACTATCCTGGCTAACATAAAGGGAAATGTAGACACCAAATACCTAAAACAAAAAAATTAAATTAATAAGACATACTTGAGACCACAGGCTAATAATAGTCCAATCACCAAGAACTCTCAAATGCTACCACCTTGATTCCAAGTGTTTACATGTGGTTCTATTTCCTGACACATACTCTTTTCTTGTCAATCCCTTTCCTTTCCTGCATAGTCGTCCATTTATGCGCTGTTCTGGAAAACTATCAGACAATTTTTTATTTGCCATCAGCCCTTTGTGGTTCTCCATAACTTATGGTTTTTGTCATCTCCTCCAGCATGCCATTGCGGTTCAGCTTCATAACATGAAGCCTATGCATTTATCAACCTCAGATACCTGCTGACCACAAAGATAGGCCCTGCAACAAAAAACTTGATGACGAACACAGGAAAAAGAGATGCCTCATTTAAAAAGAAACCTCAGTGGTCTGCCTTGTCAACATATTGCCGCCCGGCAACAGAGGTCAGGTTGTATCTGACGTTCCATCAGAAACATATGGTCCCATTTCCCACAGTTTTATGAACCTGATAGTGAATACCACACACTTACTGCCTTGGATTTCCTTCAAGTAGAGAGAAACAAGTTTATATTTTTTCATAAAAATATGAAATAATAAAACTATTAAGTTTTTTACTTTGGTTTTAAATGATTGTTCTGGAGCCTGAAGTCCCCACCTCTGAATACAGCAGCTAAAAAAAAATCAGCCCACCTACTTAACTAAACATCTAACAAAATTAGTTTCCATCCTTCAGCCAATTCCCCCAGCGCCGCTGACAAGCTGATCACGTGGGATGTCAACAAACAAGCAATTCACAAGGAGCATGTGCATTTCAGGCATCTAAGCTTGGGCATTTGAGTTAATTTTACTTTTAAACCTTGAACAGTGCCATCAATATTTTGTCAACTTTGGCCAAATAAGATCAGATGTTCACATCAATCATCTATTTTTCTTGGCTTTTTCTTTTGGGGGCCCATAAATATTAGATTTATAAATAAAGACTGCAAACAACTTGAAAACTGTAGTAAAAACATAATGTGTTTCTAGACATTTGATTCACGTGTGGTCAATTACAGACTTTTTGTTCCTGTTAGGTGCTATAAAAAATTAGTTATTCTCTTGAGACTATCCAAAGCAGGACTAAAATAAAAACCCTTTTCATTAAAACAGTCTTTAAAAAATGTCAGGCAATAATTATTGCTTTTTTATAACTTAATTATTTTAGGTATAACAAGCCTCGAGTCTGCTCCCCCCCCCCACCACCAAAGCAGCAGGAAAAGCTGAAATCTCATGGTAAAATAATGGAAGTTTGATCTCCCGAGATACTAGGAAACTATTACCCCATAGACGCCCATCAAAGTTATGGATACTAATCATTTCAACTTAGTCAGGGCTGGGCACTCTACACCTACATGTTACTGCTATTCCTTTCGCAGATACTCTAGATGCAAGTCCATTCAGCAGTGGAGATCACAAACATAATGTACACTGTAGGTAGAGATAAGTAAAGGACATTAAGTGGACGTAAACATCTGAATCTTGTGTGAGTTACAGAACACAGTCTGGAACCTCTGCAAACGCATGATGGAATACAGCATGTATACAGCCTGTTCTTCAGGGCACACCATACCCACTGGGACTACGGCACAGTCTGGTGCCCACAAATACCCATGAATACTAGCTTGCCTTTTTTTACAAGCTTAGCTATGATTTTTCAGGAAAGGGGGCTGTATTGTTTTTCTTTGGGAAAATGTTCCCAAGTGAGTCAGAAAAGGTATGCCTGCGTCCTCTGGTGGAGCCTGTTTGTCTAGTTGGACCTTCTCAGTTATTAGTCCAACAGAGGAGCTAAAGATGCAGAGAAAGCTGGAGGTCTGTTTCCTACCCAGGACCCAAAACATCTGCAACAAGCTACTCAGACTTCAAGTAACTCTGGGATTCACTGGAGGGATACCATTTATATCCAAGTCCTACTGGGTCAAAAATGCTGGACCTTTGCTCTTTTACAGCTTGCAGGCAGGAGCTAACACCGTGTTGGCAGGGTGTAATCTGACCAGAGAAAGGGACTGGGACGGGGAGCAAAGCTACAAACTGGATTTTAATTCATTGGCTCATGGCTCATTTTGATCCAGGACCCACTCACTCCCCAGCCTCTACATCTCGGCCTTGAGAGCAAAGCCCAGACTCATTCAGCTAGACATGCACCTACCCAGCCTCCGTTATCCTGGATCCAGGTGTGCAGATGCCGGTTCAGGTACTCAGTCATCCACAGGGCGATGTTGTCCACCAGGGGTGACATCTCCCTGTTGACGCTCTCCACACACATGACCCCACCGAACTCAAAGAAGGCCACAATCCTCCCCCAGTTCACCCCATCCCTGAAGAGTTCCTCCACCACCGTAGCAAAGCGTCCCCTTGCGGTGAAGGGCGTCAGGTGCAGCTGACTTGACATCTCCGCGAAGTCGCGACGGTAGCGACGGGAGAAGTCATCCCCAGCCCGGCGGAGGGTCAGGTGGACCACAGGTGGCACAGGGCTGAGCGCGGGCCCAGCGGTGGCGACTGTGGGTCTTAGTGGCGATGTCCTGGCAGCTGTGTCCCGGTGCTCAGCGGGCGTTGGGTTGCTCTCAGGCTGGAAGGAGAAGATGCCAGGGGTGGGGGCGGCGCCCAGGGGCACAGCGTCCGCATCTCCCACATCCCACTCGTAGCCCCTCTGTGACAGCTTATAATGGATGTACTTCATCACGATCTCTCGGTTATCATACCCTGTTCTCCCGGCTTGCGCCATCCTTTCCAGGAAAAAAAGCTTCAGGTACCAATAGCACTTCTCGTCCCGACTCCCGCCCCACGGCCCCAAAAGAAAAAAAGATTGTTATAATCCAGTTCTTCTATTGGATGTGCTTTTGCATTCCTGGATGAGGGGGTGTCTTCAGTCACGCGGAACACTTGGTTCTGGTGTTTCCCCCTTGGCATGAGATGCAGGAAATTTTTATTCAAATTCCTTTCGGTTCTTTATTTCACGAGGCACATTATTTATTAAGCTTTGTTAGTATCAGTCTACTTACTCCGCAATGCTGAAAGGTGAGGGGCGGGACCACTTAGCAAGTTAAAATCAGGTGTGTTCTTTATATACTCAGGGGAGGAAGGGCATATCGGCTACAAGTTACACGCTAAAGAGACTGCAATAAACTGTCTGGAAATTAAATTTGCTCGAATGCAATTAAAGTAAGAAAAACTCAAATGAGTCCGTTGAAAGTTACACTAAACCAAATTCCTGTGCAAACAAAACAAAACTTACTGTATGTTTTAAGGACCGCATGATCTTCTGTTAAGTTTCCCCCTCTTTATTTGGTAAAACCCAAACAAATATATAAGGCAACGACACCATCGAGCTTCAGAAGTCTCCTTGTATAAGCTTCTGTGAAACTTGCAATGAATCAGGAGGTGGGGCGGGTGTGTGTGTGGGGGGAGCTAGGTAGAGTAAAAATCAGGAGGGTTTCCAGATTGCGTCCCCACGGTTTGGCTTCACTGAAAATGTCAATCCGTAGGAATCCCAACCCGAGATCTCAAGAGCACGAATGAGGGGCCAAAAAGGCAGCGGTGGCGGCGGCGGCGGCGGCAGATGAATTACAATTTTCAGTCCAGCATTTGCAGAAGTCCTGTGATTTCCCCCCCGCTTCTCGGCAATTTACACTCGCACACTCAACGCTGGAGCGCAGGCATGGATCGGTAATCCGCTGGATTGCTTCAGCCCTCCGCGGCAGAGAGACACGCGAGGGGGTCGATGGAAGAGCGTGGGGAACGGGGACAAGAGTCCTCTTCTGATTAAACTCCGAAAGGCCAATGCGTTTGCCGGAAAAAAAAAAAAAAATGGGGCGGGGGCGGGGGGGGGAGCAGCTTGATAAACGCTGGCAGGCAGGGACGCGCCGGGGCCGCCGGTGCCGAGCGAGCAGCCCGCGCGCTGTGTGTGGTGCGCTGCGGGAGAAGAAGGTGGTGGGGGAGGGTTTAGCCCCCCCCCCGCCTCTTTTTCCTAAAAAGGATGACTGCTACGAAGTTCCCCCCCCCCGGGCCCCCTCTTCCGCTGCACCCCACCGGCGCACCCCGCCTCCGGGCTGCGCACCCTTTCTCCTCCTGGGCTCGGTGCGGTGCTGGCGGCCGCGTCCTCGCGCTCACGCGGCGCAGCCGGCTCGGAGGTGACGGCTGCGGCCCGGGAGGGCCCGGGCAACTCGGTAGCGGCGGCGGCGGCGGCGGCGGCGGCTCGGCAGGGACCCGGACGCAGGACGGGAGGGCGGTCCGGGGAGGAAGGGGGCGGGCGCGGGGCTGGGGGCCCGGCCTCTTACTTCATTCTCCGCCGGAGCGCCTGGTTTCCTGTAGTACGTCATGTTCATTCAAAAAAAGAAGAAAGAAAGAGCCCTCCTCTGAGCGCCCGCCCGCCGCCTCCGCCCGCCTCCCGGGTTAAAGGCGCCGCGGCCGCCCGGGGGAGCGCGCGCCGGGCCGTGGACACTGGCCTGGGTGGCGGCCACCCGCGGGCTACGCTGGGCTCGGGACGGTGGGTGGCGCGGGCCTCCCGGGCTGCCGCGACTCGGTGGGTGTGCGAGGGCCTCCTCGGGCCTGCTGGACTGGCTGCTGGGTGGGCGCGCCCATGGCGAGGGCTGGCCAAGTGGCAAGTGGCGTGGAGCCTTCCTAAGTGGGTGTGGGGCGTGCACAATTGCGTGGATCTTTTCTAACGAGGACCGGGGGCACAATCGCATGGACCTTTTCAGTGGAATGTGTGCATAGTCGCACGGACCCTTCCTAACCGCGTGCATGGGCTATGCACAATCCGATGGACCCTTTTTAGCTGCACGTGTAGTGTGGGCACGATCAGTGTGCGTGTGTGTGTGCGCGCACACACACACACTTGCTTGGACCTTTTGTGACTGCATGTGTAGTGTACACAGTCGCATGGCCCTTTCCGTGTGTGGCGAGTGTACGGTCCCACGGACCTTTTCCGTGTGCACAGTCCCAGGAACCCTTTCTAATCATGTGTGTAGGGTGTGCACAATCAAATAGACCTTTTCTAACTGCACGAGTAATATGTGAATAGTCACATGGACCTTTTCTGTGTGCAGTTGTGCATATCCACATGCCCCCTTTCTGTGTGTAATGTTATGCTTTTCTGTGTTTACTGTGCACAGTTGAATGGATCTTTTCTGACTGTACAAGGACTGTGTGAGCATTGCACGGACCTTTTCAATCATGTGTGTATTGTGTGCACAACTGCCAATTCTAAGCATGTGTATAGTGTATCTACAAGCACATGCCCCCTTTATGTGTAGTGTGTACAAACATGCAGCAAGTGTATAAAATCATACAGACCCTTAGTTAACCATGCGTGCAGTGTATACAAACAAAAAACAAAAACACTATGTTATCAGCTCTCAGTGGCCAGAGAGATACTGACCTCAGAACAGTGGTACCAGTGTGCTGCCGTTGGATAAAGAGAAGTTACTCCCAGCATAGTCTCCCATATATTAATTGCAAACGAAATAATCAGAATAATCAAAGTTAGAATGCTTGTTTGCTAGGGCTTCTGTGTCCAGAAACCGTAAGCAGTGTAACATAGAATAGGTTCAAGTACTCCTCTGGTTTGGAGAGCAGAAGCCTCTTGTCTCCTTCTCTGCTGGTTGGCTCACAGTCATTGATGCTCCTTGGCTTGTTAAAGAATGGCCAAGGAAAATCCCTAGTGGCATGTTGAGTGCTGTGGAAGTGTCCAAACAGAACACCTCATGAGCACCAGGCCTTTTTAACCTGCGTCTCTGCAAACCCATCTTAGTGGACCAGTGGAGGGCAGCCTGTGCTGAGAACTTTAACTGCTTTTCCTCTGCCCCCAACAGTCCCAGCACTGGATGGAGGCCGCCCCCTCCCCCAGGAGTGCTATCCACCTTTCAAGTCCATGGCCCTAACATGGGCAGCCAACATGAGATGGCCTCATCCGGGAAGATACTGTCACCAGCATGAGCAGTTGAGGGAAGAGAGTGAGTGGATAAATAAGCCCCAGGAAAAACAGCTCACTCAAGCACTGCAGGTCGATGCACAGGGCTCAGGGACAAACGGCATGTACAGGGTGGACAAATGCCACAGGCTTCCTGGGTTATTATCACAGAAACAAGACAGAAGACAAGGCTCCTATGAGGTATATAAACACATTCAGACATCATCTTTTCCTCCTTCCAAGTCTAAAAGATTTATTTAGTTATTAAATATTTCTGGGTGTGTACACGTATGAGATGGTAGAGTGTGTCATGGCATACATGAAAGTCAGAGGACAGCACTGTGGAGTCTGTTTCCCCCTCCCACCTTTATTTATTTGAGGCAAGGCCTCTATGGACCAGGTGGGCCTTGAACTTGCTGTGTAACAAAGGATAAACTTGAACTTAACGATTTTCCTGCCTCCAACTCCAGAGTACTGGGAATATAGGTACGCACAATGACGCATTTGTGCAGTGTTGGGATTAAAGTTAAAGCTTGGTGCATGCTGAGTAAGCACTGTACCAAGTGAGCTACACCCTCAGGCCCCAAAGCGTGTGTGAATGTGTGTGTGTGTGTGTGTGTGTGTGTGTGTGTGTGTATGCATTTTATATATAGCACATCACATGGGGGGGCACTTATCTCACAGACTATCCTGTGAGAATAGGTGCCTTCATACAAGTCTGTTACTGCTCCTTTGTAGTTTTCTGATGTCGCCGACCCCGCCGGAGAGGTGGCCTCCCCTGGAGGGAGGCACTGGGGTATGTTTGTTCATAGAACTAGTAGAAGCAGTGCTAATTCTGTAAAAGACAGTTTAGGGAGCCTCATGTCTTAAATCCCCCAAATCACTTAAGAGGAATTGAAAGCCTTTACACTTTTAGTACCCGGCACTGGAGGGAGGAAACAAGAGAACAAGGTGGGGTGTGGGGGGAGACAGGGGGTGTTGGTTGCAGTTCTGTGACGGAGACAGCAGGAACAAAGAGATCTCCTTTTCCCAGCGAAAGAAATGATCCCTGACTCACCTTTCGGTTTTCCCAGAGTGGGTCCTTCTGTGGCATCTTGGCCTTGACCAACTGCCTGAGGACAAGTGGCTGAGACCTTCTGAACAAATGTACCATGGCCTTTTCCCTTCACAAGGTGTTTTCTACCCCCTAGGAGTTCAGGGACCAACCTTTGCCATGTCTGTCTGGTTGCACCCGGCCCAAGGAAAAAGGTCCGGAGTCTGAGAATGGGGCTGTAGCGAGTGTCTGGAAGCCTGTTTTCCTTCCTGTTTCTGCTCACCACAAGGCTTTCATAGCCAGGCTCGCCACCTGCTGGTTGGTGCCTCGCAGCACTGTTCAGGAAATTCTTTTGAGGATCACTGTGAACGTTCCCCAAGTTTTATGAAACTGAAAAAGAATATTCTAAAGTGAACACAACATTGATTGAATAAGTCTACATCAAATCTTTCCAGCTATGGAACTTTTAACTGAAATCGAGGGAGGAAACCCCACACTGAGAGAGAAACAAAAACAAAACAATAATAGATGAATTTTAAGTAAAACCATTTGGCTTATTTCAGGTTAAAAACGGAAACCACAAATGGAGTAGAAATAAATCTATAGAAAGATGAATGAACGTGGGAGATAGACAGAGGCTAAGATCGACTGGTACTCCATAAAACCTAAATAAAATGAAACAGTCACAGGCCAAAGTGCTGGCTTTGAATTTCACAGGTACATGCACCATGGACTCTTGTGCAGAGCAGTGTAATGGACGCGTGTGCAAGCACTCACTGCGTACGGACCAGTGGTGATGTTTCCAGTACTTTGGGGCTCAGACCTTTGCTCCCATGAAGAAAGTGTATGTTCTGGGCCGTCCAGCCATTCTCGTCATAACTAGGAAACACTTTCACCAGATCTAAATAAAGTAGCCTTAACCCAGACACTCACCTCACTGGTTATGGCGGATCCTAAGCCTCGGAAACACATTATAACAAGAAGCCACAACCTCTACAACTAGACATGACTAGAAAAAAGTCACAGTGGAGTGCAAATTTAACAGTGGCTTGGCCTCGGTGCGGCTCTGGGCTCAGCAATGCAGAAACGGGTAAAGGGTTCTCACTTTTGGTTTACAAGACAGACCTGACTTTTTCCCGCCTTTCAAATGAATGGCTTTTCATGTGGGGCGAAGTCTGCCAAGGAGAGGAACTTATCTGATACTTTTCAAAGCCCGCTTGTTTTGGGATAGAAACTGCAAGGTGGGAAGTCACCATCTAGACCAAAGGGGTAGAAGGATTTACATTCCTCTATGCAACAACTAACTACACTCCTCTGCTATTTAGCGAAGCTTACAATATCTCCAGGATATTAATTGCAAATGAAGTAATCAGAATAGGCAATGTTAGAATGCTTGTTTCCCAGGGCTTCTGAGTCCAGTGTAACTTAGAACAGGTTCGAGTACTCCTCCTCTGCTTTTGCTTTGGAGGGCAGGAACCCAGAGCAGCCAGGCACGCTCCTCAGGCTGAACAGTCTTTCCGTGTCTCTTATCTACTGGTGGCCGACAGTTACTGATGCTCTTGGCTTGTGCTGCCATTCCTCTGTCTGTGCCCCTATGGAGACATGCCAGCCTTCCTGCACAGCTCCCCCTTTCTCCTTTTCCTCTCAGGTCATCGGCCATACTGTTTCAGGCCCATCCTAATAACCATGTCCTCACTTGACACCAATACCAACCTTATTTCCCAAGGCTAAGCACTTCAACATCCTTTGAGGTGACATTTCTACCAGTAGTACACCTCTAATGGGGTGACTGGTTTGCTAGTTTGGGGTGCTTGCTTGCTGTAATCTCTAAGGTATAGGGCACTATTAAAATTGGACTTCAAGGGATCTACAACCTTTCGGAAACTGAAATCTTACTATTTCATTTCTGCTTAAGGGAATTCAAAGGCCCTCATTCTTCTTTTCTGATGTGATGTGGCCAAACCCTCCCCTGGCCCTCCCATAGCTGCACTAACTTCTCAAGGCTTTCTTGGGTTTTTTGTCCTTCTTCGTTTTCCTTTGCCTGAACAGGAGATCAAATCCAGGGCCTCTCGCATGCCACGCAAGAGCTCTACCACTGAGCTGTGTCTGAAACAGGTTTCTTAACCTCCATTGCCCCCACATTCTGTTCCTTTCTCTAAAACACACCCAACTTCCCATCTGGGCAATTCCTATCAGTTCCTCCTGTGAGACCAGCCCTCACTTCTCCAGTAGGCCTGCAGACGCCACCTGTGCTGCTTAGATGTGGCTTGTTTTGGAGGCTAACAGATGAAAACCCAGAAGCCTGAGCGGAATCCTGGCTCCACTGATTTGGCCGCTGTGACTTTGAGCTGGTCAATGAACCTCTCTGCACCTGTTCCCTCATTCATCAACAGAGGTTTGGAAACTGATGCTTATGGTGTGCGCGCTTGGCTTCATTGCATTAAAAGATGTGAAGTGCCCAGTGGTGCCTTGAACCTATCTGTATTAGTCAACTGACCGCTTGCTAATCAGGGGACACTTCCACTTTTTGGCTACCCCTACTAGGTTATAAGCCATCTGAGGGATGAGACTACATTTGTCTTGGGTATACTCCTTGCCTACAAAAGCACTTGGCATTCGAATCTTTGTGTCATAAAACTCAAAGGCCGCTAGCCAAATGAGTGGGTGCAGAGGGACGGGAGTGGTGGCGGCGGCCTTCTCCAGGAAGATGTACAAGGATACAGCAAAGGTGACCGAAGGGTAGAGGGGTAGAAAGGAAGAAGAAAGGACTGAAGTCACCAGGAGGGACAAAAAAGTACACCGGTCTTTATCCCTGGCGCTAGCAGGCTCATCGCTGGAATTCAACCAATATACTCAAAATAAGGAAAAATGGGGGTTTACATAAAATCATTAGTGAAATAGAAATCAAGAAATTAAACATATAAATTATAGAAGTGATAATCGTATGCCATTTGAATAAAATTTCTCAAATTTAAAGGAAAGTTCAGATTGCAATTCAAGATGCCCAAAAAAAGACACACTTAATGAAAAGTCTTTATAAAACCCATCAATCGTGTACAACAAATAAAAGTATAAACAAGAAAATTATGCAATCAACATGTAGATGCAGAAAATATATATATAATTTAACTTTAACAGATACCTATTAATAAGAAAATTATGGAAGACCCCTCAGCAAACAGGAAATGAGATATTATCAAATTAAGAAAGGTATTTGAAAACCTTACAAGTAACTTTATATATTCTGGTGAGAAAGGTGCATGTTTCCCTGTAAGAATGAGGAAAGGCAGCAAAAGATAATCCATAATTCAAAAGGTACCCAAAAACTGCCTTCAGTGTGAGTAAACACTTCTACTTACAACTGGTGTCACAGCTTGCTAACTGTCCAAGCTTAGTTCACAGCATACTCAAGGAGGAGGCTCAGGAAATCCATTTGTATATATGGAATGTAACTGCTCAAAAAGTTAAATTTCTTACTCCTTAAGGTTTTACTCCCACAAACAGAGCATAATTGAAACAAATGTTCAGACTCCTAAGTAAATATTGTAACAACATTTCCTATAAAGGTAAGAATCAGCCTTTCTGAAATGTCCAGGAAGCCCAGTAGAGACACTATAAAAGACATTGATATTTTGACTAAGTAGTATCTTGAAAAAGACAGATATCTAGAAAAATAAATTCTCAGATCAGTAAAGCTTGTTCCCCGTTTATTTTGTGTGTGTAATTCAGAAATACAAGATATGAAAATTCTGTTACAGTAATGCCACAAAAGCTTCTAGAGCAATAACCCATTCCTAAAATGTATCAAAATAGCCACTTGTTCTCTGTCAATGTAAAAATGTCTTAAGATCTCTCACCTCAAACAAGTATAAAATATAATGGCAGCTCTCTCCTTTTCAAAATATCAAACCCACAGCCCTCTATCAGAACAGTAGGATCCGGTCCAGAACTGGGGAGTGGCGGTCAGCAGGGGCTTGTGAAAGCTGGATCCTAAGGACTAAGGGAAATAAGAAACACACAACACATCTTCTAGCAGAATGTATGAGTGTTAACTGTGGCCTTGAGTAAAACATCTTTCAATTAGAACATCATATAGTTAGTTTAAATATGACGACGTAACTCACTGAAACATAGGAGTACAACTGTCTGAATTAAAGCAACCGTTATAGAAATGTTCTCATCTTTTAACTACCAGAAATTTATCTACAAGTTTTGCTTTTGGGAATCAATATATGATTTAACATATCCAGAAAAATATATACCACTAAATTATATGTAAGTATTAATGGAAAGGGATCACAACATTCTAAATAATCAACCGTGTAAATTATTAAACTGTAAAACCATAGAAGGAATAACTTGAGTGAAAGATGTGTTTGGATTTGGCTGAGGGATCAAACCCAGGCCCTCACACGTGCTAGGTAAGTTTTCTCCCACTCATTATCTGGTCCCCTGGTCCCCGACTCTTTATCTTTTTTTAATAAACAAACGATTGTTTCCTATTCGTTCTCAATTATGAAGGGTCCCCAAATTTATGTTGGAGTTTACATAGCGGAGTGACATTAATTTTCAAATAAGCATAGGGTATATTACAATAAAGTAATTGAATCTAAGTCAGCAGAGCAGGCATTCAGAACTGGAACCCCACAAGCTCTTGGTCACCTAGAAGAAACACTACAGCAGACCTGTCAGCCAGGTGGGACTCTGCCTTGATGCGGTAGAGAATGCCAGGCAGGCAACTCCCAAGGAAAAGAAAAAGCAGGTAATTTCCCTAACAATTGGCCTGGACTCGCCAAACCACTCTTCCTGAGCAGGAAAATGTAGCATTTCCACATCTGGGATGAAATCAGAGTTTTGGGGACATGCTTTAATGTTGCATTCCAAGCCCATGTTTCAAAGTTCACCATTTGTTGGACTTTTCAAAGGTAGTGCGTGGAGTTGCACGGAGTCTGGTAAAATCAGCAAACACACACATGATGCTGATATAACATGAATAAAAACTACAATACTCTCACAAGTTTTGCTGACAAGAGAATTATGGTATCAGCTTTAGAGGAAAAGAATAAAGCACATTCTGAACTTTTCTGAGTGAGGGTGTTGGGGCCTCTAGCATCTAGGACACAAAGGCTTATGCCGTGGCATCATGGTCTGCAAACCTGAGTTTAAACTAGAATAGGGTTAGCATCTCCCACCATGAAACAAGGGTTTTCAATTTATCATAGGCATTCTCCACATAGCCATCCTCTAAGCCGAGGACTGTCAGAAAATGGGATAATAAAAAAAGTTATTTGTATTTTGTCAGGTTCCATCTTGGACTAGATTTTAACAGATAATTGTAGAAAGTACCAACCATCTGGGAACATTTATAGGAAAATAAAATTGGAGACTGTCCAGATATCGATACATTTGTTTCCTCTGAAGTGGGAACCTATCCCCACCGCTCCACCCTAGCAGCTGTCCAATGGGACATAAGTTGTGAACTTCGGCTAAATCAGACTGGAGGGGTCCTGGAACTATTCTGGCACTGTCTACCTACTCCTATACACACAATGAAGTCATGACAAGCAATGTACATAATAAAGTCATCTCTGTAATTATATTTAAAATACGTTCCCAGGTCTTGATAAAGACGGAGCCATTAAATACCTTACTAATTAAAACTAAGCCACCATAAACTCAAGAGCTTGAAAAATTCAAAGAACAAAAAGAAAAAGAAAAAAAAAAAAAGCATGGGTCATTAGCTGTGATGGTGTAAGGCTGTCTGTAGTGTTAGCACTCAGGTGGCTGAGGCACGAGACCAGGCCAAAAACAAAATCCATTAGAAAAAAAAAAAAAAAGAGAGAGAGAGAGAGAAAAAGGAAAGAGAAAAGCAAAAATCAAATGTTTGTCATGGCAATAATATCTAGGTTTTCAATAGCTTCTTTGTTGTTCTTTTATCTTTTTAAAACAGTTTAAAAGTGTTTCCTTTGAAAGTAGAGGTATTTTCCCAGTGGGATGAACTGGGATGCACTACTTTCTATACAAGGAGGACAGGGCAAAACATCCAGACAGAGATAACTGTCCTTGAGCTGCACAGCGAACAGAATGAATGGGGATGCAGGCTAGATTCGTCATAGGCACTTGATGCAGATTCAGTCAGTGAACAGCAAACCGCACAGGCATCTGGGGGCACAGGCTGCAGTTAGAGGGCTAGAGGTCTTCTTAACACACTGAAGACACTGCTCAGAGTCAGTGAGAGACAGAGCAGCTAGACAGCTTACTTCCAAGATGAGGGTCTTCGAAACCCACCATCTTTTACAAGTAACTAGGCTGAAAAATATGCAGCCAGTGCCTTCCCAAAAGCTACATGTATGCTGTGAGGATCAGAATGTCACACTTCGGACTGGAGAGAAAGCTCAGCCAAGAAAGGCTAGGCTCACAATCAAAAATAGAAGAATGTCGTGCTTTTCATTTTTTTTTTTTTTGTTTTAATGAATTCATGAATTTAAAAGGTCAAAAAGGTCTGCACTTGTCTTCATCTTTTTCTTATCCCTTTTGTTTTTTTTAATATAAAAATATTAGAAGAGTAAGCAAGAAGAGAGATGGGCAGAACACAAGAGACTAAACTGGAAAGGAACTGTAAGCTTCAGGTCATCATGGCTATTGAAGAAACTGTAAACTTTTAAGCTTCTGTGAGATTTTATTTCTATTCAGAAAGCATGTAAAGAGGCTGCCTTTCCCCAGGAATAAAAACGAAAAGGTTCTCAACATTGGTCTTAAGAAGACAAGAAGGCTCCATATGCCTGTGCAAAGGACTCAGCCCCTCGCTTCCAATGCACTGCTCACTGCTCATCCCCCTGGTATCTTACAGGATCAAAGAGAGAGAGAAGCCACCTTCACTAGCAGAAGCAAGTCCCAAGCAAGCACAGCAGACTAGCCCACAGCCGGACTCATCAGCTATGCGGAAGACACACCCTGAATAACAAACAATTAAAAATTTAAAAAAACAAAAATACTAATAAAAACCCAGACACCACCATTTTTCATAAAAATTAAAACCAAAAATATAAAAAAAAAACTCCCAAAAGTTCTTAATGTATCATAACGTACATTTCTTGATCTCAGCGGGCAAGAGGGGAGGATAAACGAAAGAAATTGAATTTACCATTCCAGAAGTCTAGTCTTTACCCTGTTCTCCTGTTACTAGTTCTTACACGATCACCACTTTTCTCAAAGCCCAGAAAATCAAATGGTGTCCTGGTCCATGTTTGCATAGTGTTAACAGTAATGTTGCAGAGATGAACTCTGTCCCTTTGCTTGCAGCCAGATTTCTGAAGAGTACTGGGTCCAATCTCACACATTCCAACAAGACACAAGAGTCCGGAGGCCGAAAATCGAGTTCTATTAGCAGCAAAGCTGTTCAAATCACTGGATACAGTCTTTTGTCCAAGGGGCAAGGATTAGGCAGTTTTGTCTACAGTTTCGGATTTTGCTTTCTGCACCATGCAGCGGCGAATAATATTATCAAAACTTCCAAGGTAAAACAAAGCGATGATTCGGAAAAGGCCCATAGTGACCACCTGCAAGAGGAAGAAGACCTTTCAGCTTACCCAACAGGACAGCACAATAGCCCATTTTATAGTAAGTCACATCTCTTTTACTACACAGTTTCCAGGACACATCTAATCTGCTCCAAGAACAAGTATAATGAAACTTTGTAAATGCCAATAATTTCCAAAAACAGAATTCTTTGTACACTGGATAGCACCGAGCCTGCCAGACAAACAGCAACATTTATCTGGCAAATCCCAACCATAAAAAGAACAAAATGGGTATTCTTAGAGGATAGGGCTATAAGGCCTAGGCATCGGGCTGTCCAGCATTTCAGATAGACACGCTATGATCAAAGCTCTTTGGCTAGGATTTGTTCTCAGTACTAAGCCCTTTTGCTAGGTGCTGAAGATGCTAAAGTGAGAAATACATACTCCTCGACTATCTGAATTTATTTGTTTAGTTTTTGAGACAAATTCTCACTGTGTTGCTTAGACTGATGCCAGCTCCTAGGCTCTAGTGATCCCCCGGCTTCTGTCTTCTAAGTGGCTGTGACTACGGTGGGCATGAACCCCGCTTGTAATGGAAATGCAATCAAGTAAGAAAACAATCACTGTCTCGGGGCAAGGCTACTCAGCCTGCTCAGTGACAGACTCTCACCAAAGCAACTCCAAATGGCATCACAGAAAGATGCATATTTTCAGATACGCAAGGACTAAAACTCATGTCTGCCAGCTATCCTTTTCCGAGAAGAATGAGATCCAGAAAGAGAGGGTCACCAAAGGAAAGAGGTGTCATGTGATTTGGGGAATTTGTAAATATCTCCAGAGACAGACTGGCAAGGCCAGCAATGACTTTACAATGAATTAGCAGACTTGAGACGTGGCTCAGCTGGTTAAGTGTGTTCCAAGCATGCATGAAGTTCTGGCATCATCCCCACCCAGCACCATATAAAACAGGCCTGGTGGCACCCATCTGTGACCATGGGTCAGAAGTTCAAGGCTATCATTTCAAGAATCTTAGGGAGGAAAAATAACAAAAAAAAAAAAAAAAAAAAAAAAAAAAACAAAAAAAAAATCAAAAAACAAAAAAGCTGTGAAGACATTTTTTTTTTCCTCAAACACAAATCTAACCACAATGATACCACAGCCAATCTAACGAAATGGGCATGAGGAGGAGATATGCAGGGGAGCCAGCCACTCCCCTCCAGGCTAACTGGCAACATTGGGATGCACCAAATAAGAAAAGCAGTGGCATCCGGACACAGGGGCACGTCCCCAGGTAGTTGCAGAGACAGTGGAGGCTTTGCTAAAAGAGGAGTGAATGCCTCAGGGACAGGCAGCACAGAGAGAAGCCGAGGAGGCTCGATTTTCTTCAAAAGCCTTCGCAATCGTCTGACTCTGAGAGAGTGCAAGGCTGCCTTCTGAAAACACCAGGGAGACTAAAGGGAAGCTGGTAAAGGGAACCTGAGTGACTCCATGACAAAACAGGTGGCTGTCAGGGGAATTTCAGGACAGTGACATGACCCACAGAGTGTGAACCATGAGCCTCAGTTGACAATAATGTGTCAATGATGGCTCACTTGACACAAGGGCACCATACTAACATGAGGGGGCTGTGCTGGTCAGGTATACAGGGGATTTGATGCGCTTTCCATTGAGAGTTCCTATAAAACTAAAAGGTAAGGGCCCCTATTCAAAATAAAACTGCAAAACTAAAGGCCAGTCAGGGAAAGACCTTAAGAAAAGCATTTAATACAAACACAAAACAAAGGCAGGTCCAGGCTCAGAACACAAACCTGTAGCTCTCTAATGAAAGGAACCCTCAGGATTTGAAGCCAAAGGGAACTTGAGAATGAGGACAGGGAGGACAGAGAGAACAGGACAGTTAGGGAAGGGAGAGTTAGGTATGCTTGTGTGGGGCAGTGAACTGGAAGCTTCATCCAGGGGCTCTGGGGAGCCGCTGACGACAGAGCCGCATTTAACAGACACAGCATTGAAACTGACAGCACTCCTATGTCCTCCAGTGGCCTGGAAAGGTCATGGGATTGGGATAGGGGCTGTGCTCTACTCTACGGGCATGACTGCCACCCGTTAAAGTATTCTGCTGCTACAGACCTTCTAATGTCCCAAGAAATGTCTCAAATTTGGATTTTTCTGTTTCATGGTATCTAATTTTTAAACAATTTTATTTGAATATACACACTCATGGAGTATGGGGGCTTACAGCCATAATACCAGTACTTGGGTGGGGCGTGGCCAGTGTGATGCTTGCTTAGACTACATAGCATGCTGGACCACAGCATCCCTTTTGATGGGCATAGGCTTCTTTCTGTCTACAAGTGCTGGTTCACAACATATGTGACTCAGGTCAGGGGCAGTGGTCTTGGTGTCAGCTCTGGGGTCATCAGCAGAGCTATAGAATGGGGGACAGCTGAGGTGATGAGAGGAGTCAGGGGTCATACCCCAGTGTCTGGCCAGGCACTTGGGCAAGAGCACCCATCACAGAGTAAGGGCACTGGAGAAGGCTGTGGCAGGAGATATGCCAGAGACTATAAAGGATTATTTAGAACTGGAAATGTCTAGTTATTGCCCAGGGAAAATAACGTAAAAGCAATTACGTTTTAGAAAGCTGGAATGTGAACCCGGCTATGGAATTGGCTTTCAGACTTGGCCTCACTTGTGTGAAGAGACGTGCGTGAGAAGACCAGCACTGCCTGCGGACAGCTGCAGACTCTACTCTTGCCCAGCTTGGGCATCCTGAACTCCTGTTGGTGTAGGCTGGCTACTGGGGCACAATGACGAACAAGAGCTATAGGCCCTGTCCTCAGAGGTCTTATAGCTCAGAATGTTTACCGTCACTTCAGAGCACTTCATAATGGAACAAGGAAAAGAAGCGCCCGGAGAAAAACCAATTAGGGAGCTATGCGAATGCATCTTACACTAACACCACAGACCCCATGCTATGTCAGCACTGATCCTTGGCTTTGGGTCCCCAAACATTACTCCCATGTTAGTGCTAATCACCCAGCAGTTTCACCCTCCACAAAATGGCAAACTCCCTAAAGGATGGTGAACCCTCTTACACCTAGCCACTTGGGGAAAACAGACCCTCTTCGACAGGAAGTGAACTTCCAGGCCCAGAGAGATGGTTTAGTGGTTAAGCACATCATGTTCTCCCAGGGGGCATGCGTTCAATTCCCAGCACCTAGATGGCACCTTACGCATCTCTTTAAGTTGTTCCGGGGAATCCAATGCTCTTCTGGCCTCCACGGATACTGCAGACACGTGGTGCACAGACATACATGTAGGCAAACCATTCATGTGCATTTAAAAATTAAGATTAAATTCTAAGAGTTGAACTTGCATGTGTCCTGGGTGAAACTGTAAATTCTGTAAGGGCACAGTGCGTCTAACCCTCTCCTTGAGTCCCCTCCTTGAGTCCCCTTCAGCTCAGCTACCATTAGAAAGGGATTCTAAGTTAGTCCTTCTACCTGCAGAGCCCGATACCTCAGCTCTTCACATTTTAAATCACTGCACTCTTCTCTTGATCTTTTTCTCACAGAAGTTGGATGAGGTAATTGTTGCCTTGACGGTCCATCTGTTCTGTCGGCCTATCTGTCTGTCTGTCTATCTGGTGGCTGGCTAAGAAAGGGCTTACCTGCTGGAGTCCTTCAGTGATGGAAGTCACTGGAGCCATGCCGCAGGTCAGGGAGGAGAGCATGTACCCATCTGAGCCAATGGAACTATTAAAATTTCCTTGCTAAAAAAGAAGAAAAAAAAAAAAGAGAGAGAGAGAGAAAGAAATGGGGGTATGAAGTAAGTTTAAAGGAATCAGTTCAATACTAGAGAAACAATGAAGTATGACTTTATGAGGGGTAGGATGACAACTTAGAATATTCCAGAACTAAAAAATAGACACACAGACTTAATTAATGCATGTCCACTTCTGAAACTCTGGGTCCACAGATCCCCATGGGTTCCAGACTCTTCTAGGGTCTTTAGGTACAATGCAACTGTCATATAATATTGAGACAATTTGCTGGTCTCACCACTGACCTTTGAACTGAAGGACAAACTGCCACAGCACAAGCCAGTGTTTTCTGGGGAGTGTGGGCTAGTGTCTTTCATCCAGTCATTGCCACTGCCACCACAGTGACAAAGAAAACACAATATAAAAAAAGTCTCTAAGAACCCAAAAGACACACCTTACTTAAAAACACTCGGTAGAGCAGCAAAGTTCAGCAATTTATTAAACAGTGACCTCTGGAGACATCCCCCATCCATGTAACCCCCGTTCCGCCATCTTCAGGTACTGTACTGACAGTTTGCCACGGTCCGACAAAGCTAAGTGGAAATCCCAGAAACAAGCGATTCACAAGTGTTAAATTGCATGCCGTCTGCGCAGCATACTGGTATCTGGGGTTGTCCAGCTCTGTCCCACCTGGGACATTTGTCGCTTCTCTGTTCATCAGTATAACCAGGGCCTTACTCCGTTAGGCTGCCTTTGACCTCATTTTGTAACTGAGGGTGTTCTTGAATTTCTTATCCTCATGCTTCTAACCTCCCAAGTGCTGGCATCACAGGTGTACATTATCATTCCCAGCTATGAGGCACTCTGGGAGGAACCAAGGCTCCATGCATGATAGGCTATCACTCTACCAAAGGAGCCACATCGCCAGCTAAGCTTTTCCATAGGTATGTACAGGACACACATAGCACCCACAGCAGGTCAGTAACATTAGACATTTTAGGCTGGCCTAGAGGACAAGAGAAGGGGGCTCCTGCTCCTCGCGTGGCAAACGCTTAAACGGGGATGCTAAAGGATGGCTGGCATCCTGAAGAAAGGCCCTCTTGCAATGTTCACAGATGAGCTCTCTGACAACCTCTGACCAGCTGGCTGCATTCGGACTTGGGTTTGAGACACCAGTGGGACAGATGAATGTAGTAATCTGTGGCTTGCAGGAAAACCATAGGACACACATGAGGGCGGTGACAAGAGCTGAACTTTTGGGGGGAAATTAAGACTTGGGAAATCTCTGACCATCAAAGTGAGACTACTGGGGTCCTAATATTTCCATGATCTCTGATGAACGTGACTTTTGATAACTCGGTGATTCCATATCTTCCAAATGCCTTCATGTTTTCAAAAGGTGAAGGGGGTGAAAGATATATTCAAAGGACAAACGGGAGAGGGATTTTAATGCCACAAAGAACAAAAAGCTCACTGGTGCCACTTCTAATTTCACACTGTAACCAAGCTTTAAAAAAAAAAGGAAAACCTCCATTTGTCAAGTTGGGGGATAATATAAAAAAACGACATGCCCATCCTCTTCCAACTACATATCTGTTTAAAGTCAGATTTCCTTCGGATGTTTGAAGAAGGATGTAGTTAACAGACTGGCACCAGGATGGTCTATTAATGCAGACCTTGTACAGGTTCATGAAAATACAACACCATGCTACTCACTGACTTCCTGTTTGAAATAGTTAGTTTTGAGCCAGGCATGGCAGTGCATGTCTGAAATAGCAGCATGTGATTAGTGGGAGAAGGGTCAGCAGGGTCAGCAGTTCAAGGTTATCCTCAGCTGCAGACTGAGTTTGAAGCCAGCCAGGGACGACTCCTCAGACAAAAACTCTTGTCATGTGAGTTTGATGATCTAAGTATCACCCCAGAACCCTAGTGTAGGGAACAAATGACCCCCCCAAAGTTGTTCTCTGACCTCTACCCTCACACACACTAAAAAAGAAAGTAGAGGGGAGGTGCACAGCTGCCTGGAACCCCAGCTCCAAGGAATACGATGCTGTCGTCTGGCCAGGCAGGCATCGTGCATACGTGCATTCAGGTACACACACACACACACACACTAAAAGAACAAATAAATCTGTTTAAAAAGGATTTAATGTTTATTGCAGTTTATTATTTTTCCTTTTTGATTTTGGTGTGTGTGTGTGTGTGTGTGCGCGCGCGCGCGCGCGAGCGCTTCCACGTAAGCCTGTGTACCACATGTGTGCCTGTGTGGGTGGTGGGAATCAAACCAGGTCCTTTGCAAGTACAACAAGTGGCTCTTAACCACTGAGCCAAGTCTCCAGTCCCTACTAACTTGATTTTAAATGACTTATAACTAAAGCTCTCCCATCATCCTCTGGTGATGCTGGTGAGGAAGCCCAGGACTATGCACGTGCAAGGCAGGAACTCACCACTGATTACTCTCCACAGCCCCACAACTGAATAGTTTGAAAAGTGCACTTTGAGTATTGAGAAAGTATTATGGCAAGTATTGAGAAGCACTCAGGAGGCAGAGGCAGGCGGATCTGTGATTCCAGGCCAGCCTGGTCTACATAGTCAGTTCTAGGATAGCCAGGGCTACACAGTGAGATCTTCTCAAAACAACAACCAACAAAAAAGAGAAAGCTAGCCCAGATAAACATACTTTTTTTTGGGGGGGGGATGTCAATGATAACAGTATAATGGGGCCAAGAGAAGAAAAAGTTTGCAAGCCACCGCAGGAGATGAGTCTTGCACTATTTGGGGTCACTAAAAGCCCAGTTGGTGGAGCTGGTGAGGATGAGGAGGCTTGCTCCATGGTAGAGAGCATTTGCTGCTCTTACAGAGGATCCTAGCATCCACATGGGGCAATACCAGCTCCTATAACTCCAGTTCTGGGGAGCCAGCGTCCTCTTTTGGCCTTTTCGAGCACGGCACAGCACACACATGGTGTGTATGCATACTTCTGTAGGACTCACACAGACCTTTTTTTTTTTTTTTTTTTTTTTTTAATCTTGAGGAAAAAACAAAACAAAACAAAAACTACCTTGAGGGTGTTTGTTTTGATTTGAGGGAAAAGTAAACTAGTTTATCCTAGTCACGCCTCTTAAGGCAACCAAGGCAACTACTCCACCCACAGTGTGTGGAGGGGTGGGGCGGGACGGGGCAGGGGAGGAGCTAGAGGTTAATGTTGGGCATCTACCTCAATCACTGTATACGGGATCTGTTGAGAAAGGGTTCTCTAAATGACCCTGGCTAGGCTCACCAATCGGCTAGGTTGGGTGGCCCACAAACTCTGGGGATCTGCCTGCCTCTGCCCACATAGGGCTTAGGTTACAGACAGGTGCAACCACACTGGCTTTTTAAGTCAGTGGTGGGGATCTGAACTCAGTTCCTTATGCTTGTACAACTTACTGGGCCATCTCTCTAGCATGACGCATGACTCTCTGTCCTTTTTTTTTTAATGTATAGTTATTTATTTTCTTGCATGTGTGTAAAGGACATCTTGAGGCAATCAGTTCTCTCCTTCGGCCATTGGAATTTGAAGAGCTGGAGTTATTAGGATTGATGGTAGGCACCTTTACCTGCTGAGTTGTCGCATTGCTATTCTGCTTGCTCAGCTTGGCACAACAGTGCCTTCAATGCTTAGAAACTGTACCACATTTTCTGATTTTCTGGATGCCTCTCATGGAAAAGGACCCCAGATTTTCCAAAGTCATGAGGCCACTGGGGTTCATGCACATCCTCCAGAATGAGCCTTTTTCCACACATGAACTACTTCAAATGCCATCAAAAGACCTGAGTACACATGGTGTTCTACAACGCTTTACACGGTTTCTAAGACCAACTCCTCACACATGGAGGGTATGGTGGGTTGAGGAACCTGAAGCAGCTTCTTCTTATGAGGGAAATGGTACCAGGGACCAGGAGAGAGCGGGAAACACCCACCCTGAGCCTGGCCACAGGCTTAGATGATCTCAAACTGTGGGGAAAGGAGGGGAAGCCAAGACAAGGCTCAATGGGTAAGGTGGACACCGAGCCTGACACCTGAGTTCAGTCCCCTGGACCTGCATGGTAGAAGGAAAGAACACTCCCTGCATGAAGGCGACAGTCACACACATGGTAAGTAACACTAAAGTTATAAATAAAAAGATGGTGACATGCCTTCTGCTTGGCTCACATACTTCCCAGGAGCTGACGATCTTACTTAGCCTGACTCCATCCCTTGGGTTACTATGTAATCACCAGAAGGGGAGGAGAGTAGAAGCTAATATCAGACAAATCTGACCCACAGCTGGATGCTTTCCTTAGAATTAAGTCCTTACGCGGTTTTTCAGAAATACAGCATAAACACAAGTAACACAAAAACCAACACAAGGGTTTTTACTTACTATGGCATCTTTGACAATTTGTTTGGCCACCTGCTCTGGTTTGCAAATACCTGTCGTCTCTGAAATAAGCCGGGTCTCCAGGGGCTAGAAGTGGCAAAATATACAAATCAATGCCATCACATTAATAAGTAAGTCTTCAGTAGGACCACGATACAAACCTGGTACATGAGCTAGCTTGTTGGAGCCCACTCCCTATGGTGGATGCCATGCTCAGTCTTAATGCATGAGAGAGGGGCCTGGCTCTGCCCCAACCTATTGTGTCAGACTATGCTGACTCCTTATGGGAGCCCTTACCTGTGAGGAGGAGTGGACTGGGGGTAAGCTAGGGGGGAGGTGAGGGAGGGTGGGAGGAGGTAAGGTGGGGTGGGAGGAGGCAAGAAGGGGTGAGAGGGAAAACTGTGGCTGGAACGAAAAATGAAATAAAAAATAAAAATGGAAAAAATAAGTCTTATAGGCCCTGATTTACAAATAATTATTATTTTCTACCTTCAAACAAATTCATGTTTTAAGCATAAGTCAATCTAGATTCCCAATCAGTTTCTATTTGTGGAATATTCGTCCCCATTGGCAAAGCAAGACAAGGAAGTGCTTGCTGTCCTGTGCCAACAGTGTGGCTCTTGTGAGGACTGCAAGAGTAGACCAACGTATCCCGGTGCAGAGGGGCCCTGTCCCAACTAGCCAGACTGATGGGAGATGTTATTCTGTAAATATGTTTCTTATTGGTTAATGAATAAAGCACTGTTGGCCAATAGGAAAGCAAGATAGGCGGGGCTAGGAGAGTAGGAGGAGAGAGGAAGTAGTACTGAGGAGTCAAGATGGAGGACGGAGAGAGAAGAATGCCAGGGTCTCTCCTGTAAGATGAGACCACGTGGAAAAACTTAGATTGATAGAAATGGGTTAATATTTAAGACAGAGCTAGCCAATAAGAAACGCTAGTAACAGGCCAACAGCTTTATATCTATACAGCGTCTCTGTGTATTATTTGGGGCTGGCGCGGCCGTGGGACCAGAACGGTGGGAAAACCCTACTCATAACACCAGACACGTGCCGCACAGTACGTATGCAGCGGCTGGCCCCTGCCTGAGCAGTCTATCTCACCACAGTGCCTCCCTTCTGACCAGACTCCTCACTGAGCAGATGAATGGGGACAGATAGAAACCCTGAGTGCAGACAGTCTCAGCCAAGGCCCCATTGAAGAACTGTAACTACGTACTCAAGGACCAGCAGAGACTGGCTATGTGAGAACCAACAAGGTATGCACTGTACCTAGTTTGGCTGACAGACAGTTATAGGACTGGGACTCCAGTTCCCAAATCACAGGCTCATTTCTCAAAAGATGATAAAGGCCTACTGGACTTGCCCCTGGCCCAGAACGCCTTTCTAAATCTTTGCCTTCTTTCTTTTTCCTCTTCCCCTCATCTTTTCTCCTTCTCTCCTTTTCTCCTTCATGTCCGCATTAATCCACATTGTGGCTGCTTCTGTAAACTTTGTATCCTAATTTACCTCTAAGCAGCATTTTTTTCTCATCTCATTGGCTTAGTAGCACTTTACACACACATCTAAACATTCTTCAAAAGGGTTTCCAAGCCAGGTATTGGCGGCCCACACCTTTAATCCCAGCACTCATGAGGTAGAGGCAAGTGGATCTCTGTGAGTTCGAGGCCAGCCTGGTCTACAGAACTAGTTCCAGGACAGGCTCCAAAGCCACAGAGAAACCCTGTCTCAAAAACCAAACCAAACAAAAAGAACTAAACATTTTGGGGGCTGGAGAGATGGCTCAGAGGTTAAGCTCCAGAGGTCCTGAGTTCAATTCCCAGCAACCACATGGTGTCTCACAACCATCCGTAATGAGATCTCGTGCCCTCTTCTGGCCTGCAGGCATACATGCAGACAGAACATTGATAAAATGAACAAACAAGGAAACAAATCTTGAAAAAAAAAAAAAAAAAAAAAAAACAGTTTCCAACTGAAGCATTATGAAGCATTAAGCCACAGAAGGTGGTAAATTTGACCCCTTGAACAGGGAGAAAGCCTAATACATATTTCCTCTTCCTTGTCTGGTTTTGTCACACGGGATCTCACTATGTAGCTCAAGCGGCTTGTGACTCCTAATCATCCTGCCTCCGCCTTCCGAATACTGAGAGCCATGTGCCACCACGCTCAGTTTATTTCTCCTTAAAAAGAAACCAAAATGCTTCATAAAAGCCAGTTTTCCCTTATGAACTTGAGAGGACAAAGGTCCCTTTGATGGCGCCACCATTTGCTTTTCCAGCCAACCAGGTGGGTAAGGCCATGCAAGATGCACTGAGTTAGAAGGATGCCTACTGCTCCCACAGAGCCGCAGATCAACGCAGGTACCAGTCACCACAAATATGTCCAAAATTTTACTAGAGGCGAAAGGAAAACAAACTTAACATCAAATCTCAGAGAAATCACCACTTTTCTTGAGTTTTAGTCTCAAACTTAAAGCCTGTGCAACAAGTATTTAAAAATGTGCTTTGCAGATCTCCGAGGCAGGGGGTTTGCTTTCAGTTTATTTCTTTGGAACAGAAAGAAATTGTAAAACTGGCTGACTTTTAAAAAAATGGGGGAGGGTTTCTTTTTTTGTTTTGTTTTGGTTTTCTTTTTTTTTTTTTTCAAACAAAAACAGGACATAGACTACATAAACATCCACATTTTATGCTACAGAGATCCACATACACTGTAAGAGGAAAACTACAATTACCCTCATTTCGAGAGTGATCTGTTTCATCTCTTCACTGTGTGTGAGGGCAAAGGGAAGGAGGAGGAGCCAGATAAACAAAGCCTGCCCTCAGCTGAGGATAACCTGAGCTCACTGCATGTAATCTGCATGTCCATGTGAGATAGCCTGCCCTCAGCTGAGGATAACCTGAGCTCACTGATGTAATCTGCATGTCCACCTGAGACAGACGTGCAGGTTGAAATGACCAGATCCAAGCCACCTGCCCACAGGGGGCAGGAGACCAGCAGTACACAAATCAAAGCCTTGGTTCTTTGACAGCCTCCACACCCAGCACAGGAGATGCCTCACCAGAGCAGAACAATTCGGCAAGCTCTGGTGTGGAACGGTGAGTTCCCCAGACCTCTTGCTTTGTTTGGGTTTTAACTCTCCTGATGGCAGCAGATCACAGGATTCCTCAGTGGGGAAAGAATGAGGAGAGGGAGTAAATGTCCATGTAAGGGAACTAAGGACACGAATGGCGCACCCCGCCATCTCTAGGCAAAGCAGAAAGTGGAGGAGGTGCCAGAGGTTTACAAGTGGCCTTTCGGTGTCTCCCTCAACGTAATCACCCACATGCAATGTGCAGGGCCCAATGACTGGGACTGTAATTGCAAAGAAGTAAAGAAACAGATAAGGAAGAGTAAAATGGAAAGAACAAAAATACAATCAACCAACGTCCAGAGGGAAGCTCCTCAGGGATAACAGGAAGGCTGGTGTGGGCTCTGGGGATTCAAAGGCCCACACCAGGCCCCATGTCTCCCTGCTTGGGGATCAGGGTTTAGCTCTCAGCTCCTTCGCCAGCACCAGGACGGCCTTTGTGTCACCCTGCTCCCTCCACAAGGCTAAGGACTAACCCTACGAAACTGCAAGAAAGCCCCGATTCCATGGTCTTTTATAAGAGTTGTGCTGGTCTGACGGTCTCACTCCCTTCTGAAGCTGTTGCTCAGGCATCCGACTTCGTGGTCGGACTGTCTCAGTTCCTTCTCTTACTCTCGGTTTCTTTCTCATTCAACTTTTCCCTTGAAATTTTTATTTCTACTGATTTAAAAAAAAAAAAAAAAAAAACACTTATATCTTCTTTCCGCTCTGGAGTTTGTCTTAGCAATCTGTTCTCTTTCTGTGAAGAAACACCATGACCAGCATAACTCTTTTTTTGTTTTGTTTTGTTTTGTTGTTTTTTTGAGACAGGGTTTCTCTGTATTGTTCTGGAGCCTGTCCTGGAACTAGCTCTGTGGACCAGGAAGTGAGACAGTCAGGCCAGAAAGTAGGACGCCTGAGCAACAGCTCTAAGAAGAGCACTTTGAAATATTTTGGATGGAAAAAAGCTTATTGAAAATGTTGCAGAACAGAAGCTCATGAGCTGACAGAATGAAGGCCTTCCATGCACTCATGAGGAGCATATGAAATAAGAGCATTTCACATCAAATGATATTTAAAAAAGATAAAAAGGGACTGGACTAGAGCTGCCTCCTCAGGATGACTGGAGGTATAATATAGGGCTGTTCTATTAGTCACTGAAGAATCTGTGGCCTCATGGCTTGGTGGAAGGAGGTGAAAGGTAAGAGGTGGGAGGGACCCAGTAGGAGGAAGTGGATCATTAGGAATGTGTTCCTGAGGCTATCGCTCACTCTGGCTCTTGGTGTACCCTCCTCTGCTTCCTGTAAGGTGAACTGCTCCGCCCATCTATTCTCCCTGTCCTGATGGACTGATAATCTCTGAAACCATGAACATGGAACAGAAACAAACCTTTCCCTCTTCGAGCTGCTTTTCTCAGGTATTTGGTCATAGGGTCCCACAGCAACACTAGAAGTTAGAACCCAGTGAGAAATGCCTGTAAAACTTTGAGGGCCATTATTTTCAACTTAGAGTTTTGTACCAAGTAAAAGAACCTGTCAAACACAACAACCACACACACACACACACACACACACACACACACACACACGAAGGAAGGGAAGAAAGGAAGGAAGGAAGAGAAAGAAGGAAGCATTTTTGTTATTGCAGATTCTAAACAAATGTGCCTTTCTTTCCAGTGACTGAAGTGCTACCAAAATGAGCAGATAAATAACAGACTCCAACGAAGGGACAGAAAGGGGACACTGAAGTGCTGAGAATGTTGAGCTAGAGGCCTGTGTCCCGTCAGGAAGTCCCAGGAGAAACCCTACGTGTTCAGACCCAAGGATGTTCAGTCCTGCCCAGTGAACCAGCCCCAGGAGCACACAAAGACTTTAATAGTATTCAAAAAGATACATATGAACACAGAAATCTGACATCATTACAGATAACACAGGAAGAACACAGGGAGGATGGACCAGATCCGAAGCTTACATATTAGCTTCCCCAGCAAAGAAGTAGGACATATAATGTATGTATGTATGTATGTATTATGTATTATGTACTGGTTTTAAAGACATGGATGAAATGGCTCTGTCTGGGAAAGAAAAATCAGAAGGGAGTGCTGGACGACTATAGTGCACGCAAAAGTAGTAAAGGGAAGAAGGAAACTTTGCTTGGAGAACCCCAGGGAGGACAAATCCTGGCTCAGTACCCAGTAAAAACTCAGACCCAGTAAAACCACTAACAGGTACGTGGCGAGGAGCTAAAGTAGGGTAAAAACCAGAGGAGGGTTACACCAAAGGTGCAGAATGGTTCTAGGGAAACAACATGCTAGTCTGGCCCCTGGGTGGCCAGACTGGCAGAGCCAGCCCTGGGGAAGCAGACAGGAGGCCCCCAAGGCTCACGGGCAGGCAGTGCGACCTACCTAACAGTTCCAGGAGAGTGGGAGACCCTATCTCAGGACCAAGGCAGATACCATCAGAGGAGGAACACCAAGGTAGTTCTCTGTCTCTATGTGTGTGTGCACTCAAATGTGCACAGCCCTCCCACACGAATGTGCACAGTGCAAATATGTACGCACATACACGACACACACCCCACCACGAACAATTCCCATACACAAACATCCACAGAGGACACACACAGACATATACACACGACACATACACACAACCCCCATATACAAACATGCACATACATGGTACACACATCCTAACATGCACAGTCCCTACATGCAAACATGCACAGAAAACACACACACCACACACACAAACATGAACAATCCCCACAAACAAACATACACACAAAAACATATACACATGACACACACACACAATCCCCATATACAAACACGCACACACGCGACACACACATCCTAACATGCACAGTCCCTACATGCAAACATGCACAGTATGTATACACACACATCCATCCAAAATATGTACAACCCCCACACATAAACATGCACAGTGCACACATACACATGCTAATCCAAACATGTACAATCCATATACACCCATACACACACATCACATGTACACATCACAGAATACACACACACAAACATGCATAACCCCCACATAGTCACACAACATATATACTTTATGCAGGCACACACTATGCTCACATCACACATAAACATGCATACACACCACACACACAACATACATCACACACAAAATACATCACATAAACATAACACACAATATACATCACACACATATCACACACACAACATATCACGCACACACCACACACATATCACATACAACACAGATAACACACACATCACATCCCCCACACATATCACATACAACATACATCACACGTACAACACACATGCAACACAATCACACACACACACCACACACAACATATATCCCACACACATTGGACACACGTCCCAGACATATACAAAACACATCACACACAAACACTATACATCACACAGACACATAAACAAACAACACAGAAAGCTAACATGTAGGGAGTACTGACCTTCGTTTTGTTCTCTTCCGCCAGCCCTGGGGTGTCAGTGTCCGGTGGGTAGGCCACAGTGACATACACATTATAAGGCTTCACCTGGTCACAAACAAGGTTTGCACATGGAGTAAACGGAACATTCTGTATGCATCCTATTACCTTGTTTGAGCTGTGCTGACTCTTAGAAGGTTGACGGTCATCAGGCTCATGTCAATAAAGAGCCAACGAATGTACTGAGGACACCTCTCCATCATGATGGCTGCCTCCCACTAATGTTTCTCCCTGCTGCTGACTAGACTGGTGCTGCCCAGTGTGGACAAGAGACAGTCTATTCATTCAGACTCTGCCCATGAGCTGAGCAGAGTTTCAAGGCAGAAACAGGTCTACACCCGTATCTATGTAATTTGAAGCAAGTCTACACCCTTATCTACAGGGTTATACAGCCTTTTTTGCCGTTCAGGCTGCTTTCTGCTGTGCCCAAATCCAGGCTTGGAGAAGACCCCGTATAACCACCCACATAGCATCAGAAGAAAGCATCTTCACCCTGGGTGGATCCCCAAAGGACCAGCCAAGGAACAACCCTGCAAACAAACAGCCTCGGCAAGTATGTACATACAGAAACTCTCCTCTGCCTTTTGACACTAAATCTCTCATTGCATAAGCTCAGGCTAGTCTGAACTGGTGATCGCTCAGCCAAGGCTTCCCAAATGCTTGGGGTACAGGTGTGCATCGCCACACCCAGTTCCCCGATTTTCTTTACAGCTATTCTGCCTAATTCCAACCTCCCTCTGGCTCTTCCAAAGCTCATCCGTGCCCTACTCTCTCTTCTCATTCAACTGCTCTACTGATGGACACACTCCAACAATCCCAGTGGACCTCTCCCAAACACTGGCCAACAACAGTAACCTGTAACATGTTCACTTACACTGAGAATTGAATCGGCAATCCAAAAGCTCAGAGCATCGAGTTCATTTTTTGGTGTGATCTTTCTATTTGCTGCTGGCTTATGTTTTTGTCCTCATAAAGACATGTGGAGTAAGGGGAGGTAAATCAGACAGTGCCCCACAGCTCCACCCTCCTACCGGGGAGTCAGTCACTGGACTCCCTCAGTGACACAGTTGTGTGACCTCAGAGGAGTTGCATGGTTCAAGAAAAAGAAACAGCAGGTGCTGGCCAGCCAGCCAAGTAGGTGTAAAAATGAAAGCTGGCTCCATTCCAGGGTGCCCAGGTCAAGAGGGTTCACAGCTTGGCCAGGCCAACCGGGATTTAAGTGAGCGAGCTATGACAATAAGAGGTTTCTCTCACACTTGCTTTTGAGGTGGGGACTTAATAAGACATTTGTCTCTAGTAGTCTTGTTTGGTCATAAGAAAACAATTCCAATTAAAAGCTGTTATCCGCTGTTCTATTAAAACGAGAATACAGGAGCTGGAGAGGAGACCCCAGTTGCTTACATCAAAGAAGAGAATATAGCTTACAGCTTACTATGGTGGAAAGAGATGGAGGGAGGGCCTGCGCATGCTCGGGAGGGGAAAGCAGGAAAAGCACCTGGAGTTGGAGGTTGCTGCTGTACTGTTTTGGTTGAATCTTGAACACAACTCTGGCTATAAACCAGTTCAGAAATAAAACTGCCAAAAAAGATTTTTAAATAATATATTTGTATCTAAAAGACTGAAAAAGAAAATGCAACCAAAATACCAACGAAGCCCTCAATTGAACACACTGCCCAGGTTTCCAGGGTGTTACTTACACTTGGGGAAACAGAGAGGTGAACAGAAGACTTAAAAAATTAACTAAACCAAAAAGTTTATTCAAATCACTTAAGCATATTAGCAACTATGCTGGTTTTACTCATAAAATCTGACTAAATTATCCAAATTTCAAAAAACAGATATTACTTTATAAGGAAATCTTGTCTTGATACAAGTTTTACTATGAACAAATTGGATTCAAAAGACTGAATTTATTTTCTCCAAATAAAACAGCAGTCTTCTTGATGGCATGGTTTTGTTTGCTCATTTAAGTAATAGTACTTTTAATGCATGGGACTCAGGGGGACTTATCCCAGGGCAGCAGCCAGCAGTGTGGGAAGTCACTCTTGCCATCAAGAGGGTGAAAGGACTCTGTTCCGGCCACTGCATCAGGGCACCCAGATGACATTCTCTGCCCTCAATTTGTGAATCTTATTGGCGGACACGGGGGAAAGCCTTAATGGGCGTATAATGTTTTTATCTTCCAAACTCCTGTGCCTGCACGGATTCTAAGACCAAAACATAAATGAGCGGATGAAACGGCTGCCAGATGTCCACACTGCCTTCTGCCCGAATGACAGACATATCCTCTGCTACGAGGGACGTCGGTAAGCTGGCAATCCCAGGGTCTGACCTTCTTATTCCTGTTACTAAGCGACTATGCGAATCTGAGTAACTGACTTCACTCAGAACTTAATTTCCTTCCCCGAAAGTGGCATGAAGAAGCCTACTGCACACATTACACACACGTGTACACAAAAGAAAAAAAGAAAAGAAGACAAAAGAAAATGGTAATTTGCAGAGTCCTTAAGAATGATGGCAGGGAAAATAGTTAAGATCTCAAGGATGAACTTGGGGTGGGGGTGGGGGGTAGAAGCGAGGGGATGGGAACATGAGGGACCGAAATGGCCAAGTTCAAGGAGGGATGGAGGGGGAGAGCAATCAAAGAGATATGTTGATAGAGGGAGCCATTATGGGGTTAGGGAGAAACCTGGTGCTAGAGAAATACTCAGAAATCTACAAGGACGACCCAAGCTAAGACTCCTAGCAATAGTGGAGAGGGTTCCTGAGTGGGCCTTCTTCCCCTATTAATCAGATTGATGACTATCCTGTCATCATAGAACCTACATCCAGTAACTGATGGAAGCAGATGCAGCGGTCCACAAACAAGCACAGGGCTGAGCTCCTACAGTCCAGGTGAATAAGAGGGAGGAGGGATCCTATGAACAAGGGGGTCAAGATCATGATGGGGAAAACTGCAGAGACAGCTGACTCAAGCTAGTGGGAGCTCATGGACAATGGGCTGACAGCTGGGGACCTACATGGGACTGAATGTGGGTGACAGTTAGTGGCTTGGTCTTTTGGCAGTCCCTGGCAGTGGCATCAGGATCTATCCCAGGTACATGACCTGTTTTTGGGAACCTATTTCCTATGGTGGGATACCTTGCTCAGCCTTGATACTGGGGGGGAGGGGTATCTTCCCTCCCTCCCGCCCCAACTTGGTATGCCAGACCTTGTTGACTCCCCCAAGGGAGGTCTCACTTACACCTCTGAGGCGTGGAGGGGGACAGGAGAAGGCGAGGGAGGGGGAACTGGGGTTAGTATGTAAAATGAAAAAGAAATTTTAAAGAAAAAAGAGTGATAGCTGCAGAAGTCCAGTATCTTCTCTTGCAATTTCGCAGCCATACATGTTCTACTGACTAAGCATGTGTGTGCAGAGGCCTGAGGCTAATGTTGGGAGTTTCCCCCTGACTCCCCATCTTATTCTTTGAAGCAGGGTCTCCCAACTGGACTCACACTGGTAACACTTGTCTATCCAGCTAGCCAGCTTGCTTTAGCGGTCCTGTCTTCATAGTAAGCATAGGAATCACAGGCAGGCTGCCACATTCACCCAGCATGTACTTGGGCTCTGGAGAGCCAAACTCTGGTACTTACACTGTACACTAAGCATTCTACCCACTGAGCCAGCTCCTCAGCCCAGGATGGTTCCTTAAGAAAGCTGTCTATCTAATGACATCCCTGGCTCACTCAAACAGAAGGGGGCCAGCACCAGGAAGGCATCTCCAGCACTATACACAGCAGACAACTCCCCGCCCTCAGAGTCATTTTTCCTCTGTCCCGACTACAAGTTTTATGCCATAAGAAGTGTTAAACTCAGAACTTAACAACGAAATTGTTTTCTTTACACTAGTGTCAGATTTACAAATCTTCAAGTGAATAGAAATAATGCGGGCAAAGAAGCTAGAAATTTGCAGCTTACACTGCTGATCTGAGCGAGGGGAATGGAAACAAACACAAAGATTACTACCTCCATCTGCAGAGCTTCTGCCAATCCTCTTATGGCAAACTTGGATGAAGAGTAGGCTGTGAAACCAAACAGCCCCAACTGTCCGGCCTGAGAGGACACGAACACGATTCTGCCCACCCGTCGCTCCTTCATGGTGGTGATCACTGCCCTGCTGGGGTACACGCTGCCCAGGTAATTTATGCTCATTAATTTCTGCAAGGAAAAAAAAGAGGCCACACGAGGCGGAAACACGGTCAAAAGTCCAAGTCATACTCAAGGGCAGTTTTGTCTCTTTCCAGGACTCATTTCTTTAATAGAGACCCGTGTTGGTTTGAATGAGAATGTCCCCCATAGACTCACCTATCTGTAGGCTTGGCTCCTAGTTGATGGACAGTTTGGAAGGATTACCAGGTATGGCATTATTGGAGGAGGTGTATCTCTGGGAGTGTGCTTTGAGATTTCAAAAGTCCGCACCAGGCCCTGTGTCTGCCTGTCAGTCTGTCTCTGCTGTCAATCAGGATGTAAAGGTCTCAGCTACTTCTCTAGCACTACACACCTGTCTGCCTCCCACCTCGGAACTGTAAGCCAGCCCCAGTTAAATGCTTTCCTTTGTAAGAATTGCTTTGGTCTTCACAGCGATGGCGCAATAACTAAGACAAGCCCAAGAGCCTGGGAGGTGGGGTGTAGCAGATTTGCTGGCTAAATGAGTACATGAATGATGCTGGAGATGATACCCAACACTTACAACCTACCCTTTGAAGACTACTTTGTACAAGTCTTCCATTCTTACAGAGTGACAGAAGTTCTATCTCTGATGAAGAACGGTCCAATTTAGGGCTGGGCCGGGCTTCAGTTAGGAAAGTGCTTGCTTTGCAAGAATGAGGACTTGAGTTCGGATCCCCAGGACTGTCACAAAAGATCTGCTGGCATCAGTAACCCAAGCACTGGGAGGAAGAGGGCGGAGACAGGCAGATCCCAGAGGCTTGCCGAATATTCCCAGCCATGTAGCCAGAATGGTGAACTCCAGGACCAGTGAGAGAGTGAAATAAGGTGGAGATGGACAGAGGATTGTCGATATCAACCTCTGCCCTCACCATGCACAAACACAAATGGTCAAAACGAGCTTCCTCCTTAGAGAAGGTACACTGTATACCGTAGCTAAGGTTTTATAGCCGTATTTTTAGGTGTGGGCATTTTGCCCCCGGTTATGTCTGTATACCAGTGTGTGCTATGCCCACAGAGGCCAGAATGGGGTACCAGATCTACTGCAACTGGACTTAAAAACAGGTGTAAGATGATGGGAACCAAACCAAGGTCCTCCGGCAGAGCAGCAAACACACTTAGCCCCTATGCGTTCCTTCTAGGTCCTTGTAAGTATTAATTCTTAAACGACAGCGTCTAAGTATTGCTGGCCTATTAGTTCCCAGCTAAGCAAAGATTACAAAGAGAAACTGGCATCAGCTAACAGTATAGATACGAGCTGAATTGGTACAGCCGCCTGCTACTGACTTCATGAGAAAAAGAGACTGCCCTTTTTCTCAGGAGAAAACGGGGTTAATCTTGGAATTACCTCAGGATGCTGCAGGGATTAAGAGGGAAACAAAAGCTAAGCACTAGCACAGATCCTGGTGCACAGGAAGAACTCAGTATACACCAGCTTTCCTGGTGCACAGGAAGAACTCAGTATACACCGGCTTTCCTGGTGCACAGGAAGAACTCAGTATACACCGGCTTGTGCACCCGGAAGGATAAAAGCCCACACTGGTGCTCAGCGTCTCACCACTAGAACTCTTAAAGCCTTTGCTCAACTTGAAGCCTGAAGATGCTCACAGTAACACCGTTATACAATAAAAGTTTTCCTTTGTCATCTTGCAAAACTAAACAGCCCAGTCTAGCTTAGGCTAAACTGGAACTCACTTCATAGCCACATGCTTATTCTCCTGTCTCAGCTTCCCAAGAGCTGAGCTTATAGGTGTGAGCCACTATGTGCAGCTAAGAACTGCCCCCCCCAAATAAGAAAATAAAAGCAAAAGGAAAAGCAACAACATTTTGAAAGCTGGTGAACAGAATGACAAGTGTAACACACTTGGCAAGACAGAGAAACTGAATGTTGAATGGCAACAGAGAAACTAAAAGGCAGGGTTGTACAACACAACCCCAAAGGCTCAAATGGCACCAGGAGCTTGTGGGATGGGGCTGCATCAGGTAAAGAGAGTCCAAATGTCTACTGATGATAAGCAGACAAACACACTGCAGTGTGCCCACACAATGGGACCATTACCAACCCAGAAAAGCAAATCAAGCACTGAGGTACACTACAGTGTACCTTAAGATCGTTCTGTTATGTGAAAGGGGCCAGACACAAGAGAAGATCACACCATCCTAAGACAGACACAGATTCATGGTAGCCAGGGACTAGAATAAGGGTTTGGAACAATGAGAAATACTTGACAAAGTATAGAGTAGCCTTTGGGGAGACAAAAGTGTTTTGGAATTAGATGGCTACATGTCACAATATGCTAAATGATTTCGATTCCCTCAACCTGGAGTTACAGATAGTTGTAGCTGCCATGTGGGTGCTGGGAATTGAACCTGGGTCTTCTGGAAGAGCAGCCAGTGCTCTTAACTTCTGAGCCATCTCTCTTGCCCTCCTCAATCCAGTCTTTATCCCCATTCTCAGTAGCTGGGTATCCTCTATGGCATCATCTTATACATGCACAAACAAACACACACACACACACACACAAATCAGATAAACACATAGACTCATGCATACCCCCACACACATTTCTCTTTTTCTGGCTACCCCCAAGTCTTCTGCTTTATTACTTCATACTTAGACATAGCTGTTGACATCATCTTTCAAATCTCAACCCTATTCTTCCCACATGACCGTACGCAGGTACAAACAACCCTCTTGTACACAAAGCTGGTAATGGCACCTTAGATCCCCAGGTCCTACTGTTCTGATTTTTTGTTACCCTATGCTTCTCCGGGAAGCCTCGAGGCCATCTATGAGTACGTGGTGCTTCCTACCACCTGTGAGAACACAGCTCTGATGCTGGTCCAGCAGGCTCTTTTTTTTTTTTTTTTTTTTTTTTTTTTTTTCTTTAAGAACGGAGAGCAATTTAACTTCAGAGTCAAGCTTCCAAACCCATTACCCCAGTGGAAACTGAGCAGAACCCTGAAAACGAGACTGCTGTATTGCCAAGCACATATGCTTTACACTTAGATTTCAAATCTAATGACCTTTTCTTCAGTACTAAAGTAAATTAGTAGTTGAGATTCTTGGTGGGCCTGTTTTAAAATAGAAGAGACATCGTCACCTTGACTCCAGGTGAGCAAACACCTGTCACTTACCTCAAAACTACTAACTTCAAGTTCTTCAAACTTTCCTGTCAGAGACGTCCCCGCACAGTTGACCAGCATGTCCACAGGACCCAGCTTCTCCTGTGCCTGGAAGAATAGTCCCGAACATTACATACTGCTCCAAACATTACATGGCAGAATGGAAGACTCACTGCGCAGAAAAACCAAGTCAACAAATGGAACCCACTGAACCGACAGAAAGAGCTGCCAGCTCCCAGCCACATAGCCAGATGGCAAGAAGCGATGAAAAGTCAATCGGTGGACTGAGGTCGCCGGACCCACCCCTCACCTGTTTTATGACATTCTCCACTTGGCTGTAATCTTGAGACACATCGACTGAGATACAGAGCACCACCTGTTAAAAAGAAGGGGAAGGGGGAGGGGTCAGGGCCTGCAAGGTGGCTCCTCAGGTGAGAGCGCCTGCCACCAAGCCTGATGACCTGAGTTCTATCCCTGCAACCCACATGGAGTACTGCCATCTTTGAGTTGTTTCTCCCCCCCCCCCGCTCGGGCGTGCATGTGCACGTACATACGAAGTGTAAAAAATAATACTGGAGATGCAGGTGTCTTTTGAGACAGGGGCTGGCTACATAGTCTGGGCCAGTCTTGAACTCCGTATATAGTCCAGGACATCTTAGGGCTCGCAGAGGTCCTCCTGTTTCAGCCTTCCAAATACCAAGATTTCAAAGCTAGAAGTGTACACTAAAATGCTCGTTCTATCACAACCATTTGTAAAAGATATTTTTAAAAATTAAAGCCAACTCTTTCCAATAATGAAGGCCAAACTTGGACAGAAGCTCTCAGTATTTGAAATCTGCGGTCAGTGTTATTAATGGAAGAACACACCCACAAAATAATATGCTGGTACAGGGTTGTGACAAGGGACATGGAGATGGGCGCCACAGCAAACAGGCAGGCATCTGGAAAGTCTGCTACTACGTTTGTATCCCTGGTGCTGTGTTAAAGGCTTGGTCTGTGGTGCTATTGGCAGGTGGTAGAACTGATGGGAGATGTCATTCTGTAAATATGTTTCTCATACTGGTTAATGAATAAAGCACTGTTGGCCAATAGGAAAGCAAGATAGGCGGGACTAGGAGACAAGGAGGAAAGAGGAAGTAGTAAGGAGGAGTGAGCATGGAGAGACTGGGGAGAACAGACACCGGCCCCACTCCCCAGTAAGATGAGACCACGTGGAAATACTTAGATTAATAGAAATGGGTTAATCATTAAGACAGAGCTAGCCAATAATAAATTAGTACCTAGCCAATAGAATTATATCTAATACAGGGTCTCTGTATGTTAATTGGGGCTGGTGTGGCAGTGGGGCCAGCGGCAGGAAAAACCTTACTCCTACAGTAGAATCTTTAAAAGGCGGGGCCTAAAAGAAAGAATTTAGGTCACTGAGGTGTGCCCTTGAGCGGAAGAGGATACTGAATCACCCCCAACCCTATTTCCCAGCCATTAAGAGATGAGCAACTCTGGTTTTTGGCCTTGTCACATGCCCCAAAGCAACAGCCATTTTTAGCATATATGCAAAGAGACCAAAACAGATCAAACAGAACAGAGAGACCACACTGAAAAGCTTCCATAAGAGCAACAAACACACACAAAAATGTGGAAGCAACTTAAAATAGCCACCAATTACAGACCAGATAAGTAAAAGTGGCTCGTGGATACAACTACATATTATATACCAATAACAAATTATAGTGAAATGAGGATGATGCCTATCGTCACATCTAGCTAGGAGGCGGAGATACGAGAATCATTTCAGCCCTGGGATTTGAGCCTAACCTGGAAAGCACAGCCATAGGAAGAACTATCTCAAAAAAAAGAAGACAACACATGAACTATTTTATTCAGCAGCATGGGTGAGTTTTAAAGAATAATGCAGAACGAAGAAACAAAGTTGCATAACACCACATAAAGTGTCACCATGTCACAGCAATCTATCAAACTATAAAGTTTATTGGTACTTGCCTAGGGCTAGGAGGGGTAGGACAGGAATGGGGAGTGACTGCTAATGGCAGAATGGAGGCTTCAGTGTTGGGAACATTCCAAAACTGATTGTGGTTATGGTTACACAACTCTGTATGAAGACCCAAGAAATGTGTGTCTTCTACAGAGCAACTGCACACTGAGGGAATGATCTCATGAAGCAGGTCAAGAAAATAATAATTGCAAAGCTCAAAAAGATACAAACTTAAAATATATATTCACACACATATACATACATGTATGCAAATATGTACGTGTGTGTGTGTGCATGTCTGTACAGATAAACACACAGGTGTAAAAGCATACACCCATACAAAATACTATTTGGGGACACACACTACCACAGGCGGTGAAATTTTAAAGAAGAACAAAGAATGGACATCAGAGGCGAGTTTGAGGTGGCCTCTAGGTACAAGTGGCTGGTGTTGAGCACAAGGCACATCCCATTTCTTTAAACTAGATGAAAGACAACGTGTGGTATTTATCCTAGCATTGAGCTGTACGTTAAAATATACATTGCGCTGTATATCATTCTGATACCCTAAATTACACAACTTTTTTTTTTCATATGTCATTTGCACCTAAGTTTTTTGTTTGCTTTTTAAATAAGTGAAATGAAATCATTTTTTTTCAGACACCACTGCTTGGCCCTGTGTGAAAATCCATACCTTTTCATTTCTGTACTAACTCGAATCCCAGTCATTTCAAACAATTTCACCTTTTCAAAGGCAGCCTAAAACGTATTTTAACTGGGAAAGTCATAAATGCCCTCAGTGATCTACTTGCAATAGGAACATCCTTTCTCGCCTTTAGAACCTGTCACTCAGCATAGAAAATAAAATGTCCCACCTTACCTGCTTATCATTAATAGAATGTTTTTCAATTTCTTTCTTCGCCTGCAGCAGCTTGTCCTAAAAGCAACACAGAAAGAAAGAAAAAAAAAATATCTGTCTGCATTTGTTAAAAAGGAAAGAGAAAGCAACTATTTGAACAGATACTACATTCTATAACACAGACTCTAGAGTGGCTAACTATGAGCCTGAGAAAGAAAGAGGTCAAATATAGGAGGGCATGGATAAGTCACAGAGTGTCTTTATATTTATAGCAGAGATAAAAGGAAAATAAAGGAGCCTCAGATCCTGATTAACAGCACTTGTGCTGATGGTCAGCCTATTGATGCTAACAGTCATTATCATCCGCCAGGAGTGGGTTTGACACAGAGTAAACACACGGCAACACAATGTTCTGGAAAAGTTAAGGGTGTGTGATTGCACATCAAAGAGCTCATGTAAGACAGCATCAGTATTTTCCTCCCTTCCTATTAAAAATAGAGTAAAAAGCCATCACTTTTTAGAAGGACTGATTAAATACACATCTGGGTACTTTCAAAAATACTCTGCAAACTTACACAGCTGCCCAGATAATTGCAAAGTTTTTCCAAGTCCTCCATTTTGTTTTGTTATTTTCAAACAAACAGATCCAAGCTTACAGAAGCATAATTTGTCATAGACTTAAATATAATTTGAGACCTGTGAAGGAACAAAGGTTCAATCCCCAGCAAAGCTAAAACCATGCCTGGAGTTACTCAGGAGGTAGAGGTGGGCCCTCAGAAGTCTGACAAAGGCCATCATCTGTTAGTCTATGACATAAGAGACTTTGGCTCATAAAAGGCACTTACCTTCAAGGGACAAGTGGAGTTTACAAACATGAATGTGTATGACAAAATCATATACTCCTATTGAGTGCTGGGGTTGAATACAAACAGACACACACTATCTGACTTTGAAAGACTGCAAGGAAAGGTTAGCTGTGAAACCAAAGCATGTCTTCCGGCCAGAAATCTCTCCGTATACTCATTAGGACCCCATGGGAGCTCCTGCCAGCTCTAACGCCAGCCCCTCATTCACGGTTCTCACGTCAAATCCTAGCTCTGCTTAAAAACTCGTCAAGTGCCATTTCCATTCATGTTAGAAGACTTTAAAGTGTGTATAACCAAGCCCAACCACTTTCTTGTTTTTGAAAAGAAACTATGGATACTTCAGACTGATTCTGGGTCGTTATTTTTGTATGTTTTCTCCAGAGATCCTTTCTGGCTTGCCTTCCCTACCAGGCCTTTTCAACTAACCACCCCCACCTAGGCAGCTAATTGCCCAAGCAGTGGTGCCACACCTTGCTTTCCCTTTCTCTTCCCTCTCCTTAAAGAGAGAGTCTCACATAGGCCAGGCTGGCCTCTAATTGGTTGTATAGGTGACCTTGAACTTCCGATCCTTCTGCCTTTATCTCCCTAGTGCTGGGGTTATAGGCACACACTTCAGCTGAGTTCTACCAGGAGTTGACTCATACCCCAGGGAAGCACTCAGCCAACCACGCATGCCAATCTCCTCCTCTGTCATTCAGTAAACTAACTGTCTGGGTCTGATACAAGCCAAACAAGCCCTATCCTCTGTAGACGAGAGCAGTGACCACAGAGCCATGTCACTGCCCCATCCCTCAAAGAGGAACAAAAGGCTTTCAGTCACTGCTTTGTGCTCTGAAAGCAACTTTGGCAAGACTTCAGACCCCTACTATAAAGAAAATCAGTCCCCCTGAACTGGTTAGGCACAGGAAAAACTACATTGCTACACAAATTGGAAGGGATGAAACTCCCCTGGGGAATGTGGGCTCCTCCAAAGATGCCTATCATGTCATAAGCAAATTACAGAGAAAAGTGACAGATAAACACCTACACACCTGTCTGCATTGGCTTCTAAGCTGCCACCACCAGCACCAGCACATCTGTTTGCCTTCAGTCAGATGTGCTTCTTAACTAGGCCTTCACTCACCCCTCAAGTTTGGTAATATCTAGAATGATAGGGCCTGACACGTTAACGGCAGTAAATAAGTACCCACTGAGCTGATCCAACTTTAGCAGAGGAGTCCTTGGCCTCAGTACAAGAAAGAACCAATAGTCTAGAAGTTCAGACCAGGGAAGAAGGCGCCCCAATACAGGTGTGAGCACCAAGATAGTCCAAGGACCCTGGAACACGTACGTACCTCATTTCGTGCAACCAGAGTTATAAATGCTCCTTGTTTAAAGCACTCGATAGCAATGCACTTTCCGATGCCACTGGAACCTCCTGTGACCTACAAAGAACACCAGGAAGACCATCTTAGTACCTGCAATGTCCTCCGTACAAAGGCTACCTAAAATAGTTGTGAAGGGAGTAGTCGGAATGTAGCTCAGTTGCAGGCACTTGCCTAGTATTCATGAGGCCCGGGTTTGATCTCCATATGACATAATTATGGGTGGTTATGGAAAATTATTTTAAGCGTGTTACATTTGTTTACGCTCTGGAACATTTGTTTAATGATGTACAGATGTGTTGCATTTGCTTAACTCTGTGAAGCTGTGATTCTTTGCTTGTCTAAAACACCTGATAGTCTAATAAAGAGCTGAACAGGCAATAGCGAGGCAGGACCAAGCATAGTCGGGGATGGCAGGCAGAGAGGATAGGAGGAGAAATGAAAAAGGAAAGAGCAAGAAGGAGTAAGGAGAGGACATCAAGGGCCAGCCCCCCCCAGCTACACAGCAAGCCACGGAGAAAGAAGTAAAGAACAAAACACAGAAATAGAGAAAGATAAAAGCTCAGAGGCAAAAGATAGATGGGATAATTTTAAGATAAGAAAAGCTGGCCCAAAATAAGCCGAGCTAAGGCTGGACATTTATAATTAAGAATAAGCCTCTATGTGTGCTTTATCTGGGAGCTGGGTGGCGGAGCCCCAAAAGAACAAAGAGCCCAAAGAGTAATATAACCAACATCTACAAGTCAGGTGTTGTGACACTCGGCCACAAGCCTGACACACAGCAGAGTATCTGCAGGTGAGCAGGAGTTTAAGGTTAAAGCCATCCTTATGGACAGTTTTTCATGAAACTGGGACTACATGAGGCCCTGTCTCAGAAACAAAACAAAACATAAAATCTGCAAGAACCATAAGCTCTTCATAGCAGCTCTTATCACTTGGAATCATGCAAGCTTGAAGGATTACACCACGGCAGGGCCTCCTACTTTTGACTCTTTTCAGGGTTGAGCTACGAACTGCACATCTGTTTGAGGTCACCAATCTAGCTAAGAAAGAACACATTAATACTGCTGATTATAAATACAAACGAATCTCATTTCCTTACTGCACATCTACCTGTTACAGGGCTAGGGATTATACAGGGCAAGGTCGGTGGTCGAGTTCTCTTGTCTATACCGGCAAGGCCCTGGGTTTGATCCTAAAGAAGATGCATGAATGCATGCTATGTTGTTGATGCTGGGAGACTAAACGGCTTCACAATACTGCATTTAAAAAGCTCTCTCAAGGCTAGGCAAAGTAGTGGTGGCACATGCCTTTAATCCTAGCCCTCTGGAGGCAGAGGCAAGGCAAGGCAGATCTCTCTTGAATTCAAGCTGTTTTGGTCTATATAGTGAGTTCCAGGACATCAGGGCTATATGACACCCATCTCAAAAACAAAACAAAAGCGACTTCTACCAAAATGCATCCATTTTTCATAGTCATACATTTGGATTACTGTGAATATTTTACTACTCAAATACTATGCAGAAAGAACATCTCCCACACTATAATGTTCATATTACCATGAAACTCTCCAAGCATACATATGTATCTCTGTGTACTTGAGAATACCTCATCTCTCTTTAGCCTCACCTTCAACCTATCAGTGAGATTTACTTTGTAGATAATTAACCAAATGTCTACTGAAATTATTATAAAAACATACCTGTTTTTGGCTAAGTGTTGTGTCTAAGGAGGCTTTTGATACCCGGATATTTTATGAGCTCTTTTTGTTTATTAATTTTCACTCATCATGGCACTTGGCAGGGTCTCTAAAAATGTCCTCACATGCTTTACGATACTGCCTTAGCTGCTTAGCACCCCTCTATGACACATGTCCCCACAGAATGCAGCTTGAATGTCCCGACTTCGGGGAAGCTCTTGCTGAGCACATCATTCAGTTTTATGGTTGTCATGGACTTTTCACAGCTGTTGGGATCATCTTGGCTTCCTGGCTAGGCTATCACAGCCTTGTTTGTAAATACCAAACCAGTCCATCCCATTCATCACTGACACTACCAGCCCCTCGTACAAGCAGGCACTAAATAAATGTGTTCCTTCATTTGCAGAATGTTCTCTAATGCCATTCCTGTGGAAAAATATGCCAAAGCTTATAAATAAAATTTCCCATAGGGCGTTTGGTAGTGCACACCTTTAATCCCAACACTTGGGAGGCAGAGGCAGGCAGATCCCTGTGAGTTCAAGCCCAGCTTGGCTTACAAAGTGAGTCCCAGCCAGCCAGGGCTTCACAAAGAAATCCTGTCTCGAAAAACACAAACAAACAAAAAGCTCCTATTTATTGTTCAGTAAATTGGTGGAAGTTGAAATGAATTAACCAAGAAAATGTTTATGCTCCCAAGTATTATGCAAATATTAGCCAGGACTTTCAGGAAAGCAAATGGCGTCAATTGACTTTAAAGAAAACCAGAAGATCCATACCCTGAAATTTATAAGCTTTCTACAACAGAAGTAAGACCTGGCTTTTGGATGCGGGTATATAAAAATTATGTTCTAGCCAAGCCAGCTACTTCCTGAGTGACATATGAGGATATAGTTAGGCTGTGTCATTCTGGATCCTATGAGCGCTATCAGGGTTTCCGCAATGGCTGAGAAAATGTTAAATGTTTAGTTGTCCGACATTTACTAAGCAGGTGGAGGGCATGAAAGATAACAGTATGATTTCCCTTCCTTACATTTTCTCTTACAGATCACTGTAAATACCATTTCAACCAGCCCATCTCTAACCACAGCATACAGCTCTTACTACGGGCACTGTGAGCTTGCCTGCTACTGGAAACACTACTCTCAGTCATCCAGAAAACTGGACCTCTGAAACAAGCACCTGGCGGAGACAGGATGGACAAAGCATCACTGCTGCGGTCAGACAGAGGGCATCGGCATCTGGGAACTGCCCTAAAGCTGACGCAGAAAACAATCACAAGTGGCTCAGGCTGACACACAGGTGGGCAATGTACCGGTTCCTCTCCTGATCACAGATCTCAACCACATCACACTCTAAGGATATTTTTAAAAAAGACAGACTGTGATATCACATGCCCAATTCATGCCCTGTCACGTCAGTTACAGTGATATACATACACACACACACACACACACACACACACACACACACACACATATAATTTGTTGTATTAAAATAGGATGCTGAATAAGAATTATTGTCTATTGAGACAGCCCTTATCTCACCTGTGAGGGTGATGGGGACAGAAGGACAATATCAAGGTTAGCGGAAAGTACCTTGTAAATGTTGGATCAAACATTTCATCCTGCCTTTGGCTCTCCTCCCCTTACCCCAGCTGAGCTACTGTTTGCAAACACAAGTTGTGAAATAATTCAGTTTTGTGTGCTCGAAGGTGCACCTGTGCAGAGGCCAAAGGTCAATGTCTGATGTTTCTTCACTCATCTTCCACCTTAGTTTTTGAGATAAGGCTTCTCATTGAACCTGAGGCTCACTCACATGTTTAGGAAAGCTGCCCATGACCTCCAGGGACCCACAGGTCTTGACCCCAGTGTCCATGTGGGTACTGGGGACTCTTAATTCAGGACCTGATACACTGGCAAACACTGTAACAACGGAGCCATTTCTCCCTCCCTTAAATTCAACATTTTAAGCCAAGATTTTTGAAGTTCTCTTGTGAATGCAATACTTTCAAAACTTGGCATGATCGTAAAGTTTGGCTTTTTAATAACTCCTTCCATATCATCATAGCAGCAGCTGGGAAGAAACCAATAATTTTACAAAGGATAAATTATTGAAAACTCATGTTGTCACCCACAAACCCTTGTATGGGATAAAATATACTAAAATAGTCACCTTATCAGCTGAGTGGGAACTCAGTTGGATGCATTCACGTGTTACCTACGGGCACTCAGGGGATACTTGCTGGCAGCTTAGAAACTAGCTGTCCTTATTCACAACTCCTTGCTTGGGTGTGCTTCTGGATTTGAGGTCCATTCAAGACATGCATTTGAAATGGCCAGGGTTGAAGTTCTGACCTGGGGGAGGAGGCTTAACTACGCCTGCACATTAGGAACGCTCGAGCTTCCGCCTAGAAACAAACCAAACCATATTTCCTTCCATCTTAAGGACCCAATCAGGCAGGTTAGCTCATCGTTCCGACTCCGGGAAGACCGTAAATGTTTGCACTGGAGCAGCAACCAGCAAGGCTCCGGTTGAGCTCCGAGACAAGCCAGCTGGTCCAAGCTGCCAGGCCACCCCTCAGGTGTGTCCATTCCTAGAACCTTCTGGTTCTTTGTCACCTGCACATGCCACCCCAGTCTCAGCTGCCTGGACCAGTCCCAGAGGCCCGGACCCTTCCTTGCCGCGGTCTCCTTAGGACTCTCTGGCAGTGGCTGACTCCCACTCGGGTTCGCGCCCTCATCCTGCCAGCCACCGACCTCTGTGTCCTTGGCAAAGTTTCTCAGTCTGTTGACTGAAGACCCGAACATCCGCAACCAGGGATGCTCCGCGGATCAGCAAGCGGCACAGAGCCCCAGAGCCCCGGGAACTGGGCTGACGGCATCGCCGTGACACGGCTCTGCAGTCCAGGGAGGAGCCTGGCGCCGCCGAGGGCGGGTTCCCGGGACCAGGAAGGGCAGGGCAGTGCCGGGGCGACGGTGGCAGGTGGCCCTTCCCGGGACCGTGGCCTCGGTGGCCCAAGCCGGCCAAGCAGCTCCGGGCAAGCTCAGCAACAGGAGGCCACTCACCACTACGTGCGCGCCGGGCAGCGCCAGGGGCTTGGGGCTGATGAGCGGCGACACCATGTAGAGGAGAAGCACGAAGGCCACGAGGCCGGCGGCGGCCAGCAGCAGCATCTCTCGGCCGAGCGACCACAGGCAGATCACGCGCACCGGCACCCGGAGTGTTTGGGTTTGCGGGCGAGGGCGGGACGGCGGCGAGGGGAAGAGGAGGAGCCGGGGCGGGGCGGGGCGGCCTCCGCCGTCGGACTGGCTTCTGGGTCCGCGCCCCCCAGCGTCGGGACTCGGCAGCGCAGTCTCCGCTCGGGTCCTCCCGCCAGCGTCGTGGGAGGTCTGCAAACGGTGGCTTTCGGATCTCCGGATCTGGTTCCGTGCCAGAGCCCCGCGATTCCACTCTGAAATCCCAGGTTCCGGTTCGTATAATCCTGGCGCACTTAGGAAATGGGCATGGCTCACTTTTCGCTGTGCACCTTGACTGGGAGTTGTGATGACTGAATTTGGCTGAGGACAATGTTCAGCTTGTTACCAAGGCAGATGCAATAAAAAACGAGTTGTTGTGGCGGAGATTTAATTCGGTACCAGAACATACAATTCATCGATTTAAAGTGGCTTTAGTGTGAAGAGTGTCTAACAATCGCCACAATGAATTTGTAGCCCTTCACAGAACTCCTGTAGTCATAAAGCAGCCACACCCCATTTTTTTTTTTCTTAAATCATACCCATCATAGGCGATCATAAATAAACCTGTCTCTGGATTCGTCTATTCATACAAACGGAGTTCTAACAATATGCCGTTTGTTGTGGTGTCTTCTTTGACCTAGCGTGATGTTTGAAGATTCTCCCATAGTATGCCTGATGTTATTAATTTCTTTACTCTGCTGATAGTATCCTACTGTAGGCTAGATCACATTTTATTTTTCTCATTCATCACCTTTTGCACAACACCCCCCTAAACAAATAAACAAACAAAACAATGCTACTGGGCTGGTTAGATAGCTCAACAGGTAAGGGCTCTTGCTATCAAACCTGAAGATATGTACTGGATACTCTGGGTCCAGTCCTGGAGGTTACCCTCTGACCTCCACTATCTCCTGCACTATCTCCATCACACTCACTGATTAAATTTAGTAAAATCTACAGCAATGTGTAATGTCACACACAGCATGTGTGTGTGTGTGTGTGTATGTGTTTCTCTTGCTTTTCTTGCACTTAGAACCAGGTCAATTGCTGGCTCTCATGCAAATCTGCTTAAGCAAGCTGTTTTCTTAAGTAGGTGCACAATGCTACATTCACTCATCCATGAGTTTCAGACTTGCCCACCCTCTACTCTTCTTATCTTCTGTATTATTAAAGCCTTTCCGCTGGACACATCACTTTTTTTTCTGTTTGGCAAGGTGCACATTTTTTTTTTTTATCGTTTTCTCTCATTGATCTTGGTGCTGATACCTTTGAGGACACAATTCCCTGAACTTTGTTGTAACTTGAAGGGCCCCAAACTATTCTGGTGAAGGGAAGTGTGCTGGGCAGCCTCCAGAGCGTGGGAAAGCTGTTACACTTGTGGTTATGTTTATCACAGGGGAAGGACACAGATTAGCATCCACCAAGTAGGGCACAGGGCAGAGTCTGGAGGGCTCAAACACAAAGCTGCTGTTGTAGTGCCTGGCTGGGTGTGCTGCCTTAGCTAGCTTCCCTTGAAATGTTGGTGAGACCCAAGACTCCAAAGGGAACCTGGCAGCCTAAGGTAGCCTTCTGCCAGATAACTTTGGTCACATGATCATGATGACCTGGGCCTGGACAGAGAACTGGAATCTGGCAGGGAGCGCCTACCTTCCAACTCTTCTGTTGCTGCTGCTGTTTTGTTCTGAGAGAGGATCCCCAGGCTGGCTTGATATATGGCAATGTGGTGTTACCAACCAAGGAAACTCACCTGCACTTCCATATCCAGAATTTTGATTGGGACCTCACCATATAGTCTTGCCTGAAAGATGTCAATAGGGTGGACTCCATCTTTAAGTAAACTGATAACGCTTGGCTCAACCACCTAAATAACTTGGTTCATCGTCTCAGCATCATCAAGCCCCACTCTGAAGTCCTGTTTGTCCAGCCTGATTTTAAAATTCCAGCACTTGAGAGGTGAAGGCAAGAGAATCCGCCTTTAAGGTTATTCTCAGCTATATAGCAAGTTCAAGATAGCCTAGACTACATGGTACCCTGCCTCAAAACAAAAACAATAGCAATAACAAAACATCCAAAGATAGTGATTGTTACTAGGCCCTTGCTATATCCATCGGGGCCACATGACCAAAATAACTGGCAGAATTTGTGTTGACAGGTTCCCATCAGATTATCCCAGGGCTTAGAAAATGATACTTGAAAAATGGCATGTGGCAGTTTTGGGTATGACATTCAATGAAAGGATTTACAAATACATTCTAAATGAAAATATGTCACTTTCTCCCTCCCTTTCGTCCCTCCAGCCCCTAAGTCCCTTCCCTCCCACTCCTTCCATGTTCCAATCTTGGATTAAAAGCCTCTTCTCTATTTATATTATGCACAGATCTATAAAGGCGACCTGCTGAGCCCAGTTCTGCCGTTTGTGTGTATATGGTTTCAAGAGTGACTGTTTTATGTTGGATAACTGATTAGGGGCTCATCCCTGGTATGTGAGAACTCTCCCTTTCAGCAATCACCAGTTGCTTTGTCCAGGGGTGGGAACGACCCCATAGGACTGCCCTTCCTCATCAGCACGCAGTTGTCCAGGTCTTGTGTATGCAGTCCTCTCTATGGCTGTCCACAGCACACTTCCTGTGATTCTAGCTCTTACGATCTTTCTGCCCTCTCCCCCAGATGCTCCCTGGTGGTGCAGGAGCTGTGATGTAGATGTATTCATGGGGGTGGGCCTCCCCATGATCCATTAGTCTCTGCATTGTGTTCAGCGTGATTTTGTTATGGTCCCCATTTGCTGTAAAGAGCAGCTTATTGTCTGCTTACCCACGAAGAGGAAGAGCCTCTGGAACATTACCTGTATTCAGAACAGATTCAAAAGGGGACAAAATCCCATGTCTTTGGGAAAAGGCTGAAGAAGTCTAACCATACTTGGACAAACTTCCATTACAGGACAGTATGCATCCCTTTGGGCTCATTCGAGGTCCAAGGGCAGCATCTGTCTCATTTGCCCAGAAATAGCTCACAACTCCTCAAATAGTCCACACCCTTCCACACCCTTCTGCTGCCAGCAAAGTGTGTAGCCTCAGAACAGAGTCGGATTAGTAGGCAACCATATCCCTGGGACTGGCTCCCACGCTGAGATGCTGGTTTTCTCCCCCATGCACTTCCTAATTCTGTATCAGTTTATTCCAGCGGAAGGTCCGAGACTAGACAGTAAACCTCCCTGGCCCCTACAGTCCAATTACATTCTAAAACCAGAGAGTGGTCTTCACTCATCCTGCATCTGATATAATTAAGCTAAATAATAACAAAATATTCAGTGTCTAAATGCGTTATGTTCTGGGATACCATATCAGACCCTGGAACAGACTAATGAAATTAGAGGGAAACTCAGTGACACATATCACATATAAGGAGTTGTAGCTTGGCCATCGGTGTACCAAGCGTGACTTCTTGTTTTGGTTGCAGTATGAAGGTGTGAGATACCCCTTGTCTTTGATAGCAAACATGTCTCCTGCCTCCAAACTCCTGATGGCTTCCCTTCTTTGCCATAATGAAATCCAATTGTGATTTGTATTGTCCTCAAATTTTAGCATTTGGATTATATAAAAGGTAAAATAAATACAGTACAATTCCAGACCCAATTCCAGAGGTGCAAGAAGGGTGTGCAAGGGTGAGCATGTGTCTTACCCTTAGTAAAATTCAAGAACAATTATTAAAATCCTAAGCAATTTCTTTGGAGTCATGGCATACTAAACTGTCCTGTCCTGCACACTGCCCTCAGGTTCTTTTCTGAAAGATAGGGTAGAAATATGTGTGGATATTGATCCCATGGATCTGGCCTACAGAAGCCTCGGGCACAAGCTGAGCCCTGCTACCAATGTTCATGTTTCCAGTTTATAAAGAGCTGCAAGAGCCAGCTAGGCTGACTGAAGTCAGGGGCCTAGCTCCAGCACAAGATTAAATGAGATAGTAAAACATAATCAGATAATCAGAATATATAATATTTTAAGACAATGTCTTTTAAAACTCTAATGTAAAAATCTTGGAAAACAACACTAAAGTTAAAAAGTAAAAATTGTCTTACAGCAGGTGTTGGTGGCACATGCCTTTAATCCTAGCACTGGGGGTGGGGCAGAGACAGGAGGATCTCTGTGAGTTCAAAGCCAACCTGGTCTACAGAGTGAGTTCCAGACAGGCTCCAAAGCAATACAGAGAAACCCTGTCTCAAAAAACAAAAACAAAAAACCCAACAACAACAAAACAAGACAAAACAAACAAAAGTAAAAAGTGTCTTACAAGAAACTAGGAAGAGCAGAAGCTTGCAAAGGGCTACTACATTCTTATTGTTAATAACCAAACACAGATTACTACCTCATTCTTGGTTGCTGTAAACCATTAATTTGATTTTTCTGATGTTAAAAATAAAAAAAAAAAAATCCACTTCAGACTCATCATGATGTCTGTAACAAAACAAGGTCAATGACATTGACAAGATGAAGAGACTAGAACTCTCATGCATTGCTGCTGGAATGTAAAATGATGTAGCTTAGAGTCCTTGAAAGGTTGAACTCAGAAATCCATATGACCCACAGGATCGATGGATGCAAAACAGCTGAAAACAGGGACTAAGATAGACATCAACACATCAGTGTTGATAACAGCAGTGCTCACAATAGTCCAACCTACAAAAGCTAGAAAAGTAAGCAACAGATAACAAACCACGGGTACTTTCAAAATGGAATATTAATTGGTGTTAAAATAAAATTCTGAGCTCTTGCAGTTTGACGAAACTTGAAAACATTAACCTTGGTGAAACAAGCTGGACATCAAGAGCCAAGTATATAAGTGGTCTTAGTTGTCTGACTTATTCAGCACAATGCAGACAAACTCATAAGAAACAGAGGAATACAGGTTATTAGGAGCTGAGAGTGGCAGGGTGGCGGAAGATGTCATTCTGTAAATATGTTTCTCATACTGGTTAATGAATAAAGCACTGTTGGCCAATAGGAAGGCAAGATAGGCGGGACTAGG